CATTGCCAGAAGGCACCAAGTTCTGGATGGACAAAATATAATAATGTCCCTAAATATAACGGCTGTTTGTACAAAAATAGTCTGGTTGCTTGGAGCATGCATACATGCTTATAAGTGTGTGTGTGACTATATGTATCTCTGCATGTACATGTCTGTATATAAAATATTTTTTATCAATTAATTTTATTCTGTCTGATATGCTTTCTCAGCTTTGGAAGTAATTCAAATGAATATTCATGAAGGAACAGAATATGGGCTTAAGGTAAAGGGCTAATCTTCTAGTAAGTTTTGTCACATTCTTGAAAAATACATATTATATAAGACTATGTTTTGTTTTGCATCTTACCTTAGTGTCAAGAATTGCTTTTTAAAGGTCAAAGTATTTCTGAAGAACTGGTCACAGAAATGATTCTGAAAAAGATTGAGTCACCAGAAGTTGCTCATTTTGGTAAGTATATTCATAGCCTAAATTTCTTAGAATGAGCTAGCTATAATTTTGACAAACTTTGCATCCATCACTGTTCAAATATAATTTATTTCATAATAGACGGTAGCATCTTTTCTTGTGCTCTTCAGGATGTGGAATATCCGTAAACTGACAGTGTATTTAGGGATTGATTTACCAATATGGGAGATCAGAAAGTGTCATACCAATCCTACGTTGTGTTAATTTTGAGGAAATTAATTTTCCTCAAATTTTAAGTGTTTCTATGACTCTCATTTGACAATATTACCTGGTTAGAAAAATTTTAGGATTTAAAATATAGCAGTATTCAAGAAAAAAAATCTGTAACAACAACAAAAAAACAAACAAAAAAACCCAGTAAAAATATTTTGAATGTTTAAAGTAATGAAAAAGAAGAAAAACAGATTATTTAAAATGCAAAGAAAGTATTACAGTCTTTTTTTTTTCCTTACAACATTGTTTATTCCTTCTGTATTTTGTCATGGAGAGTAAGTTAGATAAAAATAGTATTGGTAGTGGTAATAATTCTTCTTTTTGAGGAAGCATTATGAGGCTGTTAAGACTAGTGCTGCAGATCTTGCTAGAGTCTGAACCTGCTTTCCTGAAGAGGAAACAAATATACTGCTAAGTGGAAAGAAAGTAAAAGAAAATGTAGTTTCTTTTTCTGGTGCTGACTTCTATTTGAAATTTCCATCATAGAAGAGAGACAGGTATAGTGCCAAGAAAATGTTAAGTTTCTACTGCTCTGAAAACTAGCACAATTCTATAAGCTTTCAGTTACAATGTTTTTTGTTCCTCCTGTAGTCCAAGACTCAACGATTTTTCAAAAGATGCAACCTTACCTCATGAAACCAGGCTTTTAAAACAATAGGCAAAAGACAGAGAAATAGGGAAGAAATTAAAAAAAGACATTATGAGGAAACAAAAATTTGAGGGAAGAAGTAGCAGCAGAAATGCCAGTCTCTTAATCCATATGTCAGGACTTTAATAAAAGCCTAAAGAGATGTCTGTGTCATCTGACTTCTCCTCTTTGAGTCAATCTGATGATGAATGCCTAAGATACATGTATCACAGAGGACCACAGAGACCCTTGAGGTTATAAACATGACTATGAAGTTGATAGAAGTTTGGTATTTGTAGCCACACCATTTTCTGTGTTACAGATGCCCAAAGGCAGCAAGGAATAGAAAATCGACATCCTCACTATTTTTCCTACCAACTAGAACTCATCTGAAAACCAATTTTTGTTAAGTATTTTCTAGTTCTAATCACTTTTTGTTTAGCAACTGCCTTAATACAATCCTTGGAAAGCTTAAGTTGGCTTTCACCAGGAACTAATTAGTCAATTGGCTATTAATTATTCATTAAAGATTTTAGAAATAATGTTGTAGGAGAGGCTGAGTTTTTACTTTTAATTTTTGTTTTTAACTTACAAAATACAAGTTTCTGAACAGTACACACAATAAGGAATTCTTTTCAATTATATTCTTCTGACTTAAATAATAAACATATGTTGGAGACTGATGTGTCAGAGGTATTCAGAAGTGCTAAAACAAATGATAATATTTAAAAACTGTAGGTCACTAAAAACAGATTATTTGGGGTTTTTTTACTTCTGAAGGAAGTCAGATATGAAGCTTCTAAGCTATTTCTTGAAATAAGCAGTGTCTCTTTTTAAAATAACGTAGGAACTGAAGGATTGCAAAATAACAAGCATACCTGTATTTTAGGGTGTTGTAGGTAAGAAAATAAGGAATTATAACCTCTTTGTAGCTGGCATGCTTGCTTTTTTTTTTTTAATAGAACAAGAAAACAACCAGGCTTTCATATCATGTTAACCTAAATAATATTTGCAAAGGAAAAATCTATGTCATTATCACAGGGGAAAACTGCTCAATTAGCGTGATTTAAATCAGATCAGGACCAAAGTTGTTTATTGATTTATTAATGGGAAGTAATTAACTGGCAATCAGTGAACTGGCAGTCAGTGAAGAGGTTCAGTATCAGCCACACAAAACACAAACCACAGCACTTGGCACTTGCCAAATATTAATAAACACCTATAAACTTCTAAACACCTTCCTAAAACTAATTCCAAAGAGTATACTCAAGCTGACATGGTTATGCATGCAAACACTCTCTCAAAGATGGGTGGAAGTTACAAGCACACATTCCCTTTCCTGGGAATGCATGTTCACCTATTTAATCACACTTTCTGTCGGAAATGTGGCTGCTCTAGCTTTGCCTGTGTGTGCCATTTCCTACAGTCTACTAATCCACACACCAGTGAGAAAGCTCCCCATGAGCTCACATACACGCACTCGAGGTGTGGGTCACTATGTGTTTAAGCCTGTTCTGTCAGTCCAGTCATTGAAACGCAGTTTACTCGCAGCATCCAACAGGGAGGCTGCTCTGTCAGGGCTTTGACAGCACGTTGTAGTGCTGGCACATCAAACCTGCTTAGGCTGCTGTTCTTTTACCTTGTTCTCACTCTAAGGTCTCTTCCCCCAGTCACAAATTTTAATGCTTCTTTTCAAGATGGCTTCTTTTTTCCTCAAATGTCTCTTGGTAAACCCAAGGATATTATTTGATCTCATTGACGGTTGCCTCAGGTTGCCTTTATCATTGTTAGTCTCCCCACAACATTATCGGTTTGGGGGCAAGCACTGCAGTGTCTGAGTGAGGCACATGAAGCAGGTGGTCTGAGTATGATCTTTAATCATAGCATCATAGAATCTTTGGGTTGGAAGGGACCTTTTAAGGCCATCTAGTCCAATCCCCCTGCAGTGAGCAGGGACATCTTCAACTAGATCAGGTTGGTCAGGGGTCCAACCTGACCTGGAATGTTTCCAGGGATGCAGAAGCTACCACCATTCTGGGCAACCTGTTCCAATGTCTACATATTTCTTATATTTCTTAACCGACTTAACAAATTTTGAGAGTCCTATATTAAGTTGAAAACACACTTTTTTTCTGTGTTTTGTCTGAAGGAGACATGGGTACACAATTTTTTAATAGTGTTATGTCATGTATGTGATTGTGCCACTAAAATAGAGGACATGAGTCTAACTAGTCCTATATTTGACATAACCTTCTAAAAGATGTGTTTAATAAAATGTATTCTGCAGGTTATATTCTCAGTGGATTTCCATCTCTGTCGGAGGAATACATGACTGTTTCACAGCAAATAGAGAAAATAAAAAATCTAAAATTAAAACCGGATTTCCTGATTAACATTAAGGTAATATCATCTTCAGTAACTTGCTAGTCATTTTCCTAATTATTAGTAGACTCATATGCTGTATATGTCAAAAGGTAATATTTTCCCCTGTGCATTTGAGTATAGTATTTATTGAGGAATATTAAATTGTTCTATTTTATAGTGGAATGCAATTACACTAGTTTGTTCCAGTATAAGCATTGTTCATGTAAAATAATGAACATTTCTTAAAACTTCGATAGCAGTTACAGTCTTTGCATGTCTGCCAGTTAGAAGATACAGGTTTTCAAGAAAAGAAAACTTTGAATAACATTATTATTATGAGATTTTGCATACATGTACATCTGACATTCATGTGTATCAGGAAGAAGCAAATTGGTTTATTTTTTACTCACTAATTGTGAAACTGCTTCTTAGTAATTATTAGTTCATCTCATTTTACAAATCTCAATTTCTTCATGAGTAGTAATGTGATATACCAGATACTTTACTAAGGTGACTCTAATATAACCAGAGAAACATAAATGATTGTTAGTGTAGGATTAAAAGGACTTTCTCAGTGTAGCTTAAAAGAAAAGACTTGCTGGCTACGTCCATATTAGTAAATAAAACAAGGCAAGAGCGCCTCTTCAGACATCAGGCCTACTGGTTTGTCAGAACACAGCTAACCTGTCTTGTTAGTCAGAATGGGGCGGCCATGTCCAAACTGCCCTCTGGGAAAGGCTCTAAGCCTGTGCCATTCTCCAGATTGTGCCCAGCTATTCACCAGGGGAAATACTAGCTGGCCCACACCAGACTTTGCCAGACTCCATGCAAAGTAACAGTATATACAATCATCAACAATGGTTCAGGCCCTTTCTCTTGCAATGTTTTATTTATTATCAGCTAGATTTTTTCTGTCTTTTAGCCTGAATATACAGAATGAGCTGCTGAGGCAACTCTGAATAATCAGCCTCTGGTGTCACACTCCATTTTCATTGGGATTTTGATTCTAGTTGTCATATATATGTGGTTTGTCAGATAGTAAGCTTCAGTGCATGGTCCTAGTCTATCACTTTGCCACATTTAAGTCCATATTTGTTTTAATCCCATACTTTTGAGATTTAATTTGACCATGCATAATGAAAATTTGTGAATGCCTACTTCAAACTGCTTTTTCTATGCTCATGAAAATATCTTAAAACATCAGAGAAACATATTTTTGTGCTGCTTTTCAGGCAGTTTTGATGTTTTCAGCTACAGAAAATTAATCTTTGTTTTAATACCAGATAGTTATAAATCCCAGTTCTTAAGAATGTATGTTGTATAGTTTCATGTGCAACAGTACAAATAGAAGAGTGATACTAACTATACTAGAAAGAAAACGATTCTTGACTTCACGTAGTCACATAATCTTCTCTGGAAAGAAGACTGAGACTGAATGCTCATGGGTTCAAACTATTTTCACAGATTTGTCAGAATTCTAACCATTTTCATTATATCAAAAAGAAAAGAAGGTGGCAGATTCTAGATAACTCTGGGAATAATGAAATATTATTATTAGCAGACCAATTTAGAGAAATTTTGTCCCTCAAGGACAGGAGATGTACCTTTGAAAAAAGAACCATATCTGATTGAATTTCTCCTTCCCTATTTCAAAATGCGCTGTCATATACCAGTCATGTCAGCTGTATGACTCACTGTAGAAGTATAGAAATATCCTGAAGTATTGTAATGCTTCAAGGGATACCTCAGGAAATGAGTGTAGTGTGCCTATTGCTAGCAATGCATGTCAAAAGCTCTATATTTTCTTTAGATATCAATTCTCTGTTTCTGTAAAAAATTGATGTTAACAACTATAATATTTTCTTGTTATGTCAGGTTTTTCATATGTTTGAAGGGTAGATGTTAGTGATTTAGAAAGGAAGAATAATTATTGTTTGTTGTGCCCCATTCCCAATTCCACAGTAGAATTTTAAGATGCCCATCTTAAGACCCATCAGATATTTGAGGACTCCAAGTGTGTATTAATGCAATAATTAATGACAGGTCAGATAGAAGCTGTATTAACTATGATCATAGTGAGCGAACATTCAGACAGCATCTCCTCCTCTGGTCCACTGTTATCTGCTAAGTGATTGCAGACACCCAACCAGCTTTTTGTTTCAGGGGAAAAAAAAAAAAAAGAGGTGAAGAAAAACAATCCATTCAGTGTTAACAAAGTCAGGTCTACATCCCTGGAATGGATGGACTCCTTAAGCAGCCTGTGAACAGCCACAATTCTAAGAAGGAATCAAACATTTGACAATGTAGAAAGAAGGCTCTTGGTGGAGCCTATAGGAATGGCACACCCAGTATTGTCTTAGCTCAGAAGTGGGGAGGTGGAAACAGTCACAGACTGTTAGAATCATAGAACCATTTAAGTTGGAAAAAACATTTAAGATCATCAAGTCATGTTAGCTTTTAGTTGAAAGGCATATTCTTTTAGTTAGGATAAACTTCTTAGCCAGACCTCTCAAATCTTAAATACTAATAATTTTACCACCACAGACCACACACAGATTTATCTGTTAAGCTAAAAATTTGTATCTTCAGGCCTTTTATAGAAAAACCATAGCTTACTCTTCCAAAGAGTTCCAAACTCCTGAACTCTTTTAGCCTCTGAGACAATGACACTATGCTTTTCGGTAATGGTAGAACTCTGAGAGGTCAGAGGCTCCTAGTAAAATTGACTTAATCTTAAATCATAGTCATTTAGGTCAGAAAAGACCCTTAAGATCATCAGGTCCAACTGTTAACCTAACACTCCCAAGTCTACCACTAAACCATGTTCCTAATCACCACATCTATACATCTTTCAAGTACCTCCAGAGATGGGGACTCAAGCACTGTTCCAGTGCTTGACAACCTTTTTGTGAAGAAATTTTTCCTAATATCCAATTGAAACCTCCCCTGGCGCGACTTGAGGCCATTTCCCCTCATCCTATTGCTTGTTACTTGGGAGAAGAGACCGACACTCACCTTGCTACAATCTCCTTTCAGGTAGTTGTAGAGAGCGATAAGGTCTCCCCTCAGCCTCCTCTTCTCCAGACTGAACAACCCCAGTTCCCTCAGCTGCTCCCCGTAAGACTTGTGCTCCAGACCCTTCACCAGCTTTGTTGCCCTTCTTTGGACACACTCCAGCACCTTAATGTCTTTCTTGCAATGAGGCGCCCAAAACTGAACACAGTATTCAAGGTGCAGCCTCACCTGTGCTGAGTACAGGGAGAAAATCACTTCCCTACTCCTGCTGGCCACACTATTTCTGATACAGGCCAGGACGCTGTTGGCCTTCTTGGCCACCTGGGCACACTGCCAGCTCATATTCACCTGGCTGTCCATCAATACCCCAGGTCCTTTTCCGCCAGGCAGCTCTCCAGCCACTCCTCCCCAAGCCTGTAGCATTGCATGGGGTTGTTGTGACCAAGTGCAGGACCCGGCACTTAGCCTTGTTGAACCTCATACAGTTGGCCTCAGTCCATCGATCCAGCCTGTCCAGATCCCTCTGCAGAGCCTTCCTACCCTCAAGCTGATTAACTCTCTGCCCAACTTGGTGTCATCTGCAAACTTACTGAGGGAGCACTCGATCCCCTCATCCAGATCGTTGATAAAGATATTAAACAGAACTGGCCCCAATACTGAGCCCTGGGAAACACCACTTGTGACTAGCCACCAACTGGATTTAACTCTGTTCACCAACACTCTTTGGGCCTGGCCATCCAGACAGTTTTCTACCCAGCAAAGAGTACACCCATCCAAGCCATGAGCAGCCAGTTTCTCCAGGAGAATGCTGTGGGAGATGGTGTCAAAGACTTTACTAAAGTCTGAGTAGACAACATCCACAGCCTTTCCCTCATCCACCAAGTGGGTCACCTTGTCATAGAAGGAAATCAGGTTGGTCAAGCAGGACCTGCCTTTCATGAAGCCATGCTGGCTGGGCCTGATCACCTGGTTGTCCTATATGTGCCATGTGATGGCACTCAAGATGATCTGCTCCATAACCTTCCCTGGCACCGAGGTTAGACTGACAGGCCTTCTTGTAGATGGGCATCACATTTTCTAACCTCCAGTCATCTGGGACCTCTTGCTCAAGTCCAAACCACTTCGGCATTAATTGCAAGAGCAATCACAAGCTAATCTGCAAAATAATTTTATTCATAAACTACACCTACAGTTGTTATCGTACCAGGTATAACTTGCATGGTAAAATGTGCTCAAGTAGTGGCTACATTCCTGATATGGAATGTAAAATGCTGATGGAGAAAAACTATGCAAGCATTTAAGTCTGTCTTTAATATTCACTGCTTTTGAAAATTTTGGGTTTAGTCAGAATGTTATTGGAGAAGGAGTTTATGAATTCAAATATTTTCCAAGCAGACTCCTGCCCCCAATTCTATAGTTTCAGGAAAAATAATATTATTATATCAGTACAATAAACACATTATTTCCTTTTAATTATTCCTTGCTAGTGTTCAGACTATGACTTATGCCAAAGAATATCAGGACAAAGGCAACACCCCAATTCAGGGCAGGTATATCAGAGGAACCAGTGGGATCCTGGTGTTATTGAAAAGCATAAGAAAGAGAAAGATCAGCATGAAGAGGAGTATGAAGAAGAATATGAAGAGCAGGAAGAAGAAGAGGTAAATATTGCTAATTTCTAATCAGTGCAAAGTATTATAATGTACTCTAGACAAAGCAGAACAAATTCCAATGTTCTAAAATATAACCATACTACACTGTGAATTAATTTTGTTGAACTCTAATCGTAATTCAGTTTCTCTTCTGCTTTAAGAGACGTGGGATAATACTTAAATGGTAGGCTTAAATGACAGCAAATGGTGATTATTGTATAGCTTAACCTGGATTCAGTCTCTAACTCAGAAGTCACTGAACTGTTTCTTGCCATAAGTTAAAAGAGTGTATCAGGTGAATGGTGACTCTATACTGTCTGTTTCTTGGTGTAAGCAAATGAGAGAGTTCTTAATTTTTTTTAGTGTGGCAAGTTCTACTAGTATTTGCAGGATACTAGCTTATTTTCTGGTTTTGGTGTTAGACTACTAAAAATGGATTTTCTTTTTTTTGTTTTCCGTGAAGGTACTAATTTTGAATTCAGGTTGAATTGTTCTAGTTTATAATGCTGGCCAGAGACTTGCCAATGCAAGTCCTAGTCCTAGGCACATTCTTCTCAATTTGCAGAAACTGCACTTCATCAGGATAGGATCATGGTCAGCAATCGCTAATACTCATTGCAGTACTCTGGAAAACTACTTTATTTACCTTTGAGTAAAGAAAAATATTAGTTTAGTACATTATTTTATTTCTGTATCTTGAAATATTTAACTTTTCATTTTGCAGACTGCAGAAGATCCACTTATGATGTCAGAATTTTTGCATCAATTAGTTCAGAGGCCTGAAGATATTCTTGAAAATGCAGAGGAAAGAGTTAGAACGTATAAGGATATAATGCTTCACCCTTTAGAAGTAAGAAAAAGCAAAATAATCTGGTTATGCATAACAAAACACTTTAAAATATTTTCACTTTTTTTTTTTTTTTAAGTTTGAGACTTATTGTATAGAGGTGGGCAGAAGGCATGCTACAACATAGCCCCAAGTTCTGAAATTCATACTGAAATCAATGACAGAAAGTTGTCATCTGTAGGTGTTTTTTCTACTCTGGAGTCAAGATACAGTAATCCACTTTGAGTTTTAAAAGTGAAACCATACCTGCCAGATTCTTCCTAAATCTAGGAAGTGAAGTATTTGAAGAGTCCAGTATATCATTGCCATTACCAAAGTCTATTCTAGCATGCAATCCCATAAGAAATCTGCTCTTTGCATCCATTGCCTTCCACTCCAATAGATTCCCTTCCTCACCTGCTTTACTGCCTGCAGATTTATATACCAAATAATTAGCCCATCAGTTTGTTTTATCACCTATTTAATTTCTGCAGCTGTGACATTGTGTTTTTTCTTTCCTTGTTGTGTTTGGGAAAGTTGGATTTACTATGTATCTTTCCCCCTCCCCCTCCAAAAAAAACCCAGAACAGGTCCAAAGCAATAATTCGTTCTTTTCTTTTTTTTTTTTTTTTTAAACTTCTGGTACAAGCAACTGCAAACACCTTATGTTTCCTTCAATTACTGTTTATTTATGCCCTTCAATTTCCCTATGGATTAGATGAGCCTATAGATAAATTGTGTAAATCTGGTATAAAGTTCTTTGCTAGCGTAACAAACTTGTTACTGCTGTCAAGGGGAAAGCAAAAAAAGGTGATATCTTTAATCATTATACAATCTCACATGGATTTCTTGTAAGTAAACTAATGGAAAGTTGTTTAGATTAAATTACTTTAGGATGTACACCAAACTTCAACACTTTCAACACATTCCACTAGCTTGTAGGTCTTTAGGCTTCACTATCAATGAACGTATTAGTGAACATACTCAGTGGTCCACTAATACATTAGAAGAACATAGGGGTCTATCATTGGCCCAGGTAGAGGTTGAGATGATGAAATTGGAAAAAAAAAGCTTATAAGATGAGCAGTTTGCACTGAACTGGAATAGGTAGAAAGAACTCTGTAGAAGAGTCTTTGATTTCTTGATAAGTTGTTTGATGAAATTGGGTAGAAATAGAATCACAGAATTCACAGAATCACTAAGGTTGGAAAGAACCTTCAAGATCGTCAAGTCCAACCTTTAATCCAGCGCCACCATGTCCCCTAAACCATGTCCTGCAGCACCACATCCACACGTTTTTTGAACCCTTCCAGAAATGGCGACTCCACCACCTCCCTGGGCAGCCTGTTCCAATGCCTGACCACCCTCTCGGTGAAGAAATTTTTCCTATTATCCAATCTAAAGCTCCCCTGGCGCAACTTGAGGCCATTTCCTCTCATCCTATCACTAGTTAGTTGGGAGAAGAGACCAACACCCTCATCGCCACAACCCCCTTTCAGGTAGTTGTAGAGAGCGATAAGGTCTCCTCTCAGCCTCCTCTTCTCCAGACTGAACAACCCCAGTTCCCTCAGCCGCTCCCCATAAGACTTGTGCTCCAGACCCCTCACCAGCTTTGTTGCCCTTCTCTGGACACGCTCCAGCACCTCAGCATCCTTGTTGTAGTGAGGGGCCCAAAACTGAACACAGGATTCAAGGTGTGGCCTCAACAGTGCTGAGTACAGGGGCACAATCACTTCAATCACAAGTCACACAAATAAGTGTGAAATACTACAGGTCGGGAGGAAACCTAATGAACAACTACAACATTTGAAATAATTGGCTAGACCTCAGTACTGCAGACAATCTGCAATCTGTGGTGTTTTAGTTAGACGAAACTGAGTCAATAAATGTGATACTATAGTACAAAAGCAAATATTAGGGATGTACTAAGACGACCACTGTATATAACAGAAACACAAACTGTTATCTTCTCTGTCAAAGAGTATTAGAAATAGTTAGTTATTATCATGTCTACCAAAAATAGGACAAATAATTTAATTTATAGTGTAGAAGACCCAGACTAGATGCAAGGAAGTTAACTCTGACCATAAGTGTAGTGAAGAACTGGAATAGATTACCTAGAAAGTTGTAAAGTCACCTTCACTAGGCTTTTTCAGGGCTGGGGTTAGACCAACATCCGTCAGGAATGGCGTGAATGTTCTCAATTCTCAGACAGAGAAATTAACAACAGACATGGGATGTCTATTTTAGTCTAGCATCTTATTTACTAATGGGAAAACTGAAAATAAGAAAAATCAAATATACTGTTCAAATTTTACCGAAACTGAGTCAGGACCAAAATGAAAACATTGGTCTCATGGCTGGTACTTCCAAGAAATCTGTTAACTGACATTTTCACCATTTTCCAGCAGAGAATTAAGGTAGTTAGACAATTAGAAGTTGAATTTATACACAAAACATTACTGTGTCTTGATTCTTTGTAGGTCTCTTGCATTTGAGCCAGGATATCTAATCTGTTTTCTGAACCCATTGTAAGTCCAATTTTTTAATTCTCTCTGTATTTATCCATAAAAGTTTCTCTCTAGAAGATTTTATAAGTCATCAGTACAATGAATCTTGGTTTTGCTAAGTCCACAGGAGTCCAGCCTTTGATATGTATAGGAACAGAATGAGCTTCAGCGTCATTGTCTGGTTAACTATAATCGATTAACTATGTCTTTGTTCTTAAACAGGACTTGATGGCTGAACAGGATTGTCAATATCTTATTGAACTCGATGGAAATCAACAACCAGATGATCTCTTTGTAGTAAGTAAGCTATGCACCAACTTAATTAACGTCCACTAGAAAATGATTTCTCAATTCTGTGGATTGATTTCTTTATTAAGGTGTTGGCAAAATTTTAAGTTGTGTGTAAAGCTTATTTAATTCCTATTAGAAAACATGACCTTTGAAATGTTTGCTTTTTTTTCTCTATTAAAACAATTATAAGATTCACTGCACTGTCCCCACGCTTACATATATGTTACATGAGAATATTTTCAGGTAGGCTACAAACTCTTTTGTATTGTATCCATCTGTTTTTAGTGCTTTATTTTGTGTATTAATGTAATATACCATTATTAGCATGAGAAATTAAAACATTTTCAGTATGATCTATTTACAGAATTGGCTTATTTTGTGCTGGTGTCTAAAATAATGACAGAATTTTTATGAACTTGGATATCGTTTTACAGTGTAATAGAAGACACTTCCTTCTTTTCCATTTGACAATTCTGCTGAGTGCTTGGGTCTAGATTTTTAGCTCATAACATAGCAACTCATTCTCCCTATTAAAAAAACTACAATGATAAAATTTGAAGATAAATAATCTTATCCTCTGCCTCAGAAATCAGAGCTGCTTCAACTCAGAACCTGAAGTATGTGGTTGAAAATGAAGTGAGATTGCCTTTGATAGTGTAGGAAGTGAGCTGCTCCTGCAGCTTCTCCTCTGTTGTTTGAAACAAATTTGAATCAATTGTAATTCTGTAAGTATTATTTCAATTTATCCTTAACTTTAGTACCAAGAGTAGTCCTATGTGAAAAAAAACTCCACACTAATTTTGCAGAGTTAGAACATAACATTTCCTCATTTATGATCTGTTTATGAACATCACAACACAAGATTTATAGTAAAGGCAATCAAGTTGTGTAAAGATTCCAACCATTTACCTGTAAGTAAGGCAAAGACTTGTTATGAAACTAGTCTAAACATGATAAAATTTGCTTTTTCATTTAAAGAACACTTGCATCCAAGCAAGATTACATTTAGGAAATACTTCAATTAAATTTTATATCCTCTGATTCTCATTCGCAGACATCTGGTTTAAGTATCTTTTTAAATAAATTATCTAAAGCTGTATTACGTCCAAGTGTACATAATCTGATCTCCTAAAGAGATTTTCCTCCTAGAGACTAGAGCTCATCTGAATACTTCCACTGCTTTGTGGGAAAGAATCCTTTACAGCCTATTCCTTTAGAAGGGATTCGTAGCATAATGAGGAGATACAAAGGCCGTGATTCAGCATTTAGCACTGCCTGTATCTAGCAGATAGCTTGTTAAAACTCAACTCAATAACTAGCTTGACTCCAACCTAGAAACTGGGCCTTTGTGTGTATGTAGCCATTATATAAATAATAACTTACAATTTTAAAAATACTTTGGAGGTCCTTTTAGATCACAAAAGCAGTTTTTATTGATACTCAGTCAAGAGTTATTTTCTCTTCAGTCGGTGGTAGTTCGACTTCAATCTCTTGGTGTTCGAAATGGAGCTCCTATAACTAGACTTCAAAGTCAGCAAGAAGAAATGCTGGAGAGACTGGAAAATGTAAGTGTGCTTTTCTAAAATGTGATTGACTTTAATAATTATAAAAGTATTTTTTATTTTCTGCTGTAAGCTTATATTATAAAATTTTTGTTTCACAGCAATCATTTTGGTTTACCATGCTGTAAGGGCATTTTTTGAGCCTTCATTTTCCAGAAATGTGAATTTAAGATAATTCTAGGACTGAAATCCACTTAAAAGAGTATGAAAAGAAAAAAGTCTGTTATTAAAAAAAAAGGTGAATAGGTGATTGTTATAAATTTTTGAACAAAATGTTTGTTTTAGCAATAGGGGAAGAATTAATTCCTTCCAAGAAAATAAAGAAACTTTAGCCAAAGGATGACAATCTCAGCAGCTGACTCTTACCTGTATTTACCCTTTTCCTAAATGAGAAACAGCATGCTAATACAAATTTAGGAACATCCTACATAGCTGAAATCACATACATTGTATTTTCTATAATTAATTAGAACATGACAAGTTAGTGCTGAATTTTTCTGAATCATGACAATTATAATTTGTGTCTCTTCCAAATAAAACTAAAAAAAGAAGTCTTTGCATAAATGTCGTCACCTGTATTCACTTGCTGGCATCTTTCCTATGTCTTAAACAAAACTTTGAATATATGAATGGTACTGTAACTGGGAGACCCCACTATACATTTTCAGAAAAACACCCCTCCTTTCACTTTTCTGTTTTTTCAGTCCCTGACAAATTCACATGTGAAGAACTTTTTGTGTCAGAGGTGATCTGTATTTATTATTTAGTTAGTCTGTGTGTTTGTTTTAGTCTGTCTGTAAGCTTTTAGCATCCACAATATTTGGGGCAAGGAGTTCTGCAGCTTAACTGGACGCTATATACAGAATTGCTTTTTCCCTTTGTGTTGAATCTGCCACCTTTTACCTCAGTGTCCTCTAGTTGTTGATATGCAAAATTCAGTAAATAGTTATGTTCTCTGTATCTGCCCTCTCATAACTAATGATTTGAGACTTCTGTCCTGTTCTTGTGTAGCTGTCTTGTTCCTGGACCGAAGAGTTCCAGTCTACTTAATCTTATTTCTTCTTACATGAAAATCTTTGTGTGATTGATTGGTCAGCCATATTATCTTTTTCTGAAGCTTTTCCAATTCTACTGTGTACTTTTTGAGATTGGAGTAGCAGAATGCACATAGCAGTAAAGATAAGGGCAGGATTTAGCTAATAAAAAAATAAACCTTTATCTCATGTTCTCTCTTTGCTAAACATTCCTAACATTCAGGTTGGTTTTCTGACTGCTCTTGGGCAGTGACCAGATTATGTGTTATAATTCCAAGGTCTATTCCTGAGTAGTGACAGCCAGTGACAACTCATCATTTTCTATATAAAACTGTTATTTTAATGCCTACCTTCCTAGATTCCAAAGGTCCTTCTGCAGCTCTCCACAGCCAGCACGTTTCTATACTATTCTGAATAATTTAGAGCCACCATAAAGTTTAGGATTCAGTCACTATTCACCTTCTGTAAAAGGTCTATTAAACTTAGTCCTATCACATGACATTTCTGCATGCCTAAAAGAGATATTTTGGCCTTGCTGTTCCCCCCGCCAGACCATGGTCCTTTCTTCTTCCCCTTTAGAAGAAATCTTGTCCATTTTCTGTCATCTTCAATACATGGCTGATTTGCACCTCTTTATCATTTTAAACTTCTGAAAATAATAAATGAAGCTTTCAGAAGCTATTTTAACTACTATTTTTATTAAATAAAATTGAAAAACTGAAGTTTTTCTTTAAAATTGTCCTACTATTCTGAAATATGTAATTTTTAAAAAATACTCTAAGAAGCGTGATGTGGTTTTCTTTTTAGGTTTGTTTATTTTCCAACAAAATATTTCAAAAAAGGCTAAGAACAAAGCATATGTAGCTTCAGACAAAACTTACAGGTGCTGTTATTGCTGTTTTAATAAACAGGATGAACTTTTCCGGGTTCTGTCATCTTACAAATTAATAGCGCGCAGATACCAATGGCGTAGAAGCAGGTGGGGGCAAGCGTGTCCTGTGGCTTTAAAGGAAGGTGATATTGTAATGGGAAACCCAGACTTGGCTGTCAGGTTAGTGGAGTTTGACACTTTCAATTTTTATTTCTATTTTATAAGATAACTATCTATTTCTGTTAGCTTCTCTTCTGTTTTAAGTTTTCTAGGTAAAATCTACGTACTGTCATCCCTGGAGGCATTGGAAACATTTATGTTGAATCCACGGCCTTACCTGTTACCACCAATGCCACTTCCTCCTTGTAAAGTGCTAGTATTTGGTCCTCCCTTTTCTGGAAGAACAACTATTTGTAACCTAATTGCACACAAATATAAAGGAAAGGTAGGTTTATAAATGTCTTATGTAACAACGGTATCAGCTGAGTCTTAGGAATCAGTTAAGCACATTCTAATTCCTTCTGTGTTATTAACCTACACTTTTCAAACATATGGATTACAGAGGAAACATAGTAATTTAGTGAAATTAATTTATATACATGTCATGGTTTAGCCCCAGCCGGCAACTAAGCACCACGCAGCCGCTTGCTCACTCCTCTCCCCCAGGGGGATGGGGGAGAGAATTAGGAAAAAAACTTGTGGGTTGAGATAAAAACAGTTTAATAGGACAGCAAGAGAGAATGAAACAACAATGATAACAACAATAATAATAATACCGACAAAGGAATGTACAAGAACAAGTGATGCCCAATACAGCAATTGCTCACCACCTGGTGATCGATAGCCCGTTCCCAAGCAGTGGTTTCCACCCCCCCCAGCCAACTCCAGTTTATGTACTGGGCATGACATCAGATGGTAGGGAATATCCCTTTGGCCAGCTTGAGTCAGCTGTCCTGGCTGTGTCCCCTCCCAGCTTCCTATGCACCCCCAGCCTTCTTGCTAGCAGGCCAGCACAAGAAGCTGGACTGTCCTTGGCTGCTCAGCAACAATCCAAAACATCAGCACATTATCAACAGTTTTTCATCCCAAATCCAAAACACAGCCTCACACTAGCTTCTGTGAAGAAAACCAGCTCTATCCTGGCTGAAACCAGGACAATACATTTATATATTATATATATATTTATTTACATTTCAAAAGTACTTTTATTTACCCTCTATGTAAGATGAATATTTATGTGTCAGTTATTTGTCTTAGCATAATAATATTATGAATAACTTTTGTATCTAAGATAATTAAATGTAAATGCAAATCAGATTTTTTTTTCCACAAAAAAAACCCTGCACTTAAATTCTATGTAGAACTTTCTGAAATTTGCAGAGCTTTTTCAAATTCATTTCATTGTACAGAAGTTGGATCAGATGCTATATTTCTCTTCTGTAATATTTTTATTTTTTCATATCAATTCACTAGGTTCTTGATATGACCAAACTCGTTCAACCCCGTATGGAAGAATCAAGAGAAGAAAACATTGAGCAAGTGCGAAGGGATACAGTAGAAAAAGCTATAACAGCAGTGAAAAATAGGTTAGAATTAGAAAAACAGTCAAGAGAATCAGGTGAATAACGTGTTCTGTGGTCTTTGAAGCTATCTTTTTTGCTTTAGGTTATTTAACTGAAGCAATTGCTGTCACTTTGACTTATAAAATATTACAGAAGTTGTTATGGTTGTCATGCATTAAACATGAACTAAAAGAACATGAAGTAATGGGAATAGCTAAGTAGAATTCAGTATTTTTGATTTTATATATAAATCCTCTGAAATTGAAGGCCACAAGTATGTAAGAGAGAGTTTTCTGAGCTCTTTTTGAAAGAAGAAATTGGTTCTGACTGATTCTGATTGGAAACTTTCCATTTGAATAACTTTCTGACAAGTTAAATCTCTGCAAAATTGAAATTTTCTTCAAGAAAGGAGCTTTTGGCGCTAGGCTGATGTGAACCCACAATCTACAGATTTTCCATTTTGGAAAAGCCTTTCAAGTATGCTGTCTCAGATGGCACGTTTGCAAGACTCTTCAGCTCTGGTCACAGTTAGACTTCTTAAACTGCCCAGGTTTTTGCAGCTTGATGAATTCAGAAAATATTTTGAAATGGTGAAATAACATGTTCTTTTAATAACTTTTAAATGAAAGTTGGATTTTCTTTTTGCAGAAAATTTAGTGCTTTTTTTTCAAAATTATTTCTTTTGAAATGAAAATTTTCCATTGAATTGAAATTGCCTTTTCCAGTTAACTCTAGTTATGGTTCAAATGAACAATCAGGCCATTTTTCTTTATCCAATCTAAGCAAGGAATCACTGTATTTCACTTACTCATGGGTAGATACATATCTAACAAGAAGTCAGTATATTCCTCTTGTGCTGCAAAACATACAAGCTGACAGTGACACAAAAAACGTTGGTGTTGCAGTAAGAATAATGGTGAACTATGTCACCAAATTTAAAACCATTAAACAGTGTTATGTTCCAGATTCCTGGCTATTTAATAATTTTGAGGACAGGTATGTGAAATCATATTAGGATTAATGAGAACTTAATCCTAATTAAAAACCTTGGAGAGCTCAAGCCGTTTTATTGCAAAACAGAATTACAAACAGATGAAGAATGTAAATTGTCGTAGAAAGTAAGAAAGCTACAGAAGGGGAAATTAAATGTTTTTGGAAGCTTGAATCTATATCTAGTTTTCTGTGAAATTAATACGATTTCATAACTATAGGAGACTTGCAAGAACATAGTAGTGTCAAAGCAGATGATTCTGAAGAACCCACTAAAACCAGAGAAGGAATAAACTTGGAAGAGGAGACTGCTATAAATTCTGCCATCATCCAAAAAAGTAAATCTTAGCTATTTTAAGCATGTCATTCCATGCTTTCAGTGTGTCTTGCAAATTAAAAAGTGAAAGATACTAATTTCCACTTGTAGGACTATTTAAAATTTTTTCCTTGTTCCTGATACTGTCAATTTAAGAAACCTAAAATGAAATGGTTAATTTTGTCATTGAAAGATATTAACCCATTAATACCATATTAGTGTACAGGGGAAGAAACTCCAAGTGACCTTTGTAGGAGCTAAGCGTATATTTTGATGAAAAGTTTGGTATTTTCACTTACATATCTTTTTATAGCATAAGAGTGTTCCAGAATTTTTTAATAGATAAGGAGAATAGGTGTTAATTCACAGACAAACAAAAAATAAGTGAAGAGAGGATCTGAATTCAGGAGTAGGAGTTTTTGCCGCTTGAATATGATAAACTTAAAAGTATGCTAATTTTTAATAAACCTGTTGAAATATACTTAAACAAGTGAAATATGTTTGTAAGCCTGATATGGTTTACAAATAGTATTTTTTCATACAAACAGTCTGATATTTCATTTCAACCAAGGAAGACAGACTATTAGGTAGATCCAATTAATGGACATTAATGAAATACTAATGCTTAGCAAAGCATAATGAAATATGTTTATAAGGATCTAAAATGGAAATGAAATAAATGTGGATTATGGGGTAGTTTTTACAAATGTCTTTGTCTTTTTAAAGAAAAACATTTGTTCATTCAGTTAAATTCTTCCTTTAATTTATGACATTCTATACCAGCAAAAGATACTGAAGAGAGCACTTAAGAAGGATCTATTTCTTGAACTGGAGAAGTAGAATATAATATTTTTAGCTATGATAACTGTAAAGTTTGTTTGGGTTTGGATTGAGTTTTTTTGCAGAATGGAAATACTTAAATTTGGAATACTTAGACGTGGAAATATTGTCCCTTTCCCAGGGAGCTAGTAACTTAGCAAAAATAACCTGATAATGTGTAAATTTGTGCATGTAAAAAGTATCCACACAATCAGTGAAAAATCTTGGCATAATTACAGAAAAATAAATATGGCATTTTTCCAAATTATACTCTTCACATAGTAAATATTGCAGTTGCTTAAAACTGTTCTTCACCAAATTTTATCAAATCAGTATGTAAACTGTGAACTAACTCTGAGTGTTCCTTAAAAACATTTTTAAACAATTACAGTCCATTATGTCAGCAATTAATTACAAAATATTAATGTTTTGTGCATCTTAGGGAATACAGGCTTCCTGATTGTTGACAATACACTGTTTGAGCTAAGATTTGTATTGATTTCTAAATTGATCTAGTCAACTTTTTCATTTGGGAATCAAAGAGAAATCAAATCAAAGGAAATTCTCAGGTGCTGCAGGTGCCTGATTATTCTAGTACACAAATGTCATTCCATTCATATTGAAACAATATTTCAGTTAGTGGTAGAATATACGGTACAGTTAAGGGTTTTTTTTATAATGAGAGAGCAAACGAAGATCTTAAAACCTATCTTTATGAAATACCCTCTAGAACTGCATTCAGAAGAACTGGTATTTGATTCTTACTTAGTATGATTGTGTAATATTGCTTAAAATGACTGCTGCACTGTAATTATGAGGTGGCTGGATTTAATTGCATAGCAGTTATTCCTGACCAGAGGAAATAAGTATTTCAGAATTTTGTGAAGTGCTTAAAAATCTGTATTGTTAGGAATGTCAGAGATAACTGCTGACCACCCAGAAGTTCAAGCGATGGTAGAAGAAGCCATAAAACACGCATCAGTCTCCGACATTACACTGTCACCTGAAATATATGCTGAAGTACTGGAGAGAGCTATTGCAGAGGTAAAACTACAAGTACTATATAGCAAAGCATGTTTGTTCTAATAGCAGCCTGTAACAGTTTATATATTATCGATATGTGTTCTTAATTTTTCCATTTGAAAGATCAGCTTAGTTTATATCACATAGTCTGAAAGCTTACATGGGATTGAGGAGAGACTGAGCAAGATCATGAAAGACAAATTTACTGAGGACTCCTATATATATACACGAACAATTTCTGTCTTGCAAAGTACTTGGGCTACAAATTGTTAAAGGCTGGGAGAATTATCTGAGTGAAGTATCACTGTATGCTTGCCCAATTCTTATACTCTTAGTCACTATTAAAGTGACTTGGTCACCAGACCCAAGTGTTTGAAAGGAATTGTATATGAAGGGTTTATCCAAGAATCCTGAATTGTTTTAAATTTGCTCACAGGTTTGTAACTACTGAAACCGGAATCTAAATTCTTTATAGACAACCTTAATCTCTTTTTGTTTAAAATGTTTTTATTTCATTCAGAGATATATAGTTATAAATGTCTTTTTATTTACTTGAAATTACAATCATGAAAAATCATAACATTTAGAAAATCATTTTATATTGTGCAGTCTTTTTGAACAGCTCACAGACTTAGTCTTTTTATCTTACTGAACCTGACATTTTATAACAGCTTATGAAGAAGAACAAAGACAGGTTTCCTGGTGCTCCAGACAAAGGAGGATGGGTAGTGGATAACTACCCTCTGTCAGTAGATCACTGGTCAGCTTTATCAGAAAAAGGACTTTTACCTGATACTGTTGTCTGTCTGAAGGATACAGAAAAAGATGGTTAGTAAATGCACACTCATAACACTTTTCTTTTTTCTGTGTTGATACCTGTATGTAAAGCACACTTAAAAGAAAAACAAGTAGTTATGTCCCATTTATAAAGTTTCAGGGGTCTAGATAAGGAAGAATCCAATGAATCAACAAGGGTGCCCCAAATTTCTTACAATTTGGATTAAGGGTATTACACAAAATTGAAAACAAGAATGCTTTACAAAAGCAGTAAGGAAAATTCCTCCTATTTATAATCCTATTTACAATTTCCTCCTTTTTACAATCAGCAGTAAATATCACTGGACTCTTGCAGCTTCAGACTTTTGTATTCTGTGTCTAGCTGGCCACCAGATTGCAATGTGGCTCTCACTCAAATTTCCCTTCCTGTGCATTGGTTTCCCCACTTACAAAATCAGGTTACACATAGAAACTTTCTCTGCTTGAGAGAAAAGTGGGAGGAGAAATACCTGTATGCAGGTGTATCCAGCTACCCATCCTGGGGTCAAAATAAATTGAGCAATTTCTTATCCAGATTGATACAATAGCTTAGTACCCATGAATTCAGAGGAAGGGATTTTTACTTTATTGTTTCAAGCAGAAAGGAAGATTGGTACCAGACATGAAAAAGTGAACAGATCTGCCTGACAGATCATGTCTTAATGGATTATGCCTGCTTGATTCATACCACGCCACAAGTTTCATTGCCCTGTGCAAATGTTTGATCATTACCTGTTCAACCCAGTCCATTATCGAAAGGTCTTTCAGTAGCAGAAACTTCCCTTCAAGAAAAGAATGATAGGTCTATTCATACTTAGTTCAAGAAAGCTCAGTAACTGCCTGATATTATAATCAGTCCAGAGAACTTTTCCAAGCCTTGTCCTCGAATATAAAAATCAACCTGAGCAAATCAAGGTTACACAGTTTACTCAGAACAGATTTCTTATTTTTTTTTTTTAAAAAAAGCTTTTCAGAAGCATGTCATCTGGTCAGCTAATCATCCTCAAAACTCAACCACAGTACCTATTAGTCACATAGCTTTGTGAAATTTTGTAGCACCTTAAACATCCTAACTAAAAGTCTTCCAGTGTGACTGGAGCTCATATACAGACTACATACAGACTGAACATTTCTATGAGAAAGTTCTTTAACCAGTGTTCGTCTGAAAATCATATTTGCTGTTCCTGTCATTCAAAAAGACCTCATCTCAGATACTTCCAGAAAGAATTTAAGGACAAATTGCATTTCCAGGCCTTATCTTTTCTTCCCAGACATTTCAAGCATATTGAAATGTTCATGAACCTAGTTTCTGGGACACAGTGCATTCTCCTTTCTTACAACGACAAAAAGCACCTTATTCATGTAGTTGGCATGCAGTAATGTAATATTAATACAGTGTACTAAATAACAAACAGCAGGAGTCAGGCTCTAGCCTATTCTGCAGGGTAAGGACTGCAGTGGGAGAAATGCTTTCAGGATTATGTTAACTTTCTCTTCACTTCTCAGAATTTAACACATTACTGAATTAACTTGATAAAAGAAAAGGTTGTCTCATCATCCCTGAAAGGCTTTATTCTAGATCAAACACTTTGGGAATAGATAGTTCTTCATGGGAACTGTGTTGAAAACTGGTCAGTAGTAACTGCCCCATTTTTCTCTTTTGGGAAGCAAGAACTTGGGAGTCCATAGCAGAGAAGACCTCTCTTGGGCTTTCAAATTATGTGCTTCCTTCCTGCAGTATACATCTTTTTGCCATTCCCACTAGTTCTGAAAACCTACCTCTCAATTACTTTTTCTAATATGAGCAACCTGTTTTATACTCTTGGTAGCCATCTCTTCCATGCAATCACTTTCTGTTTCTCTAGTCTGAGAGATTCTTTAAAGCGGAAGTGTAAGCCTTTCCTAGAATTTAGAGAAGTCCTTGATGAAACTTAAATTTTGTGCTCACAACCCTTATGGTACCTCTGTTTGAACTAACACCGTTACAGTCATTACATCACATAACAAAAAAGACTGCTTTCTTAATTACAACCCATTTGGCCCTATGTATAAGTAGATTTTAGGCTTGGAAGGAAATCCACCATTCCCATTTTTAATGTATTTGAGATGATAATGAGTCTATACCCTAATTATATCCCTAGAGCTGTATCAGGTGTTAATATGAATCAATGACAATTTATTTTTCTTCAAAGTTTTATTCACTGGTGGGAGGAGAATTAACATACTTTAAATGGTAAAGCATATATTTTTACTGCCTCAGCTTGAGACAAGTCATGAGCAAATTGAATACAAGTCATACTATTTGTAGCCTATCATAACAAATCGAAGTGAAATCTAATACAGGCATGGAGATTTTCTTAACAGACTTCCAGTTGCATTAAAACAGGACATTGCAGGAACATTGTTCTTTCAACTAGAATCAACTGAGCTATCTACAAACCTGCTCCATTAGCAAGTCAGCTTATTTATGGTTAATACCAGTAGCAGATATTCTCAGGTCAGCCACTTAGGACTTTGCTAATGTATTATCCATTATTCTAAAGGCTTGTGGGTCACTTGCTCAGTTTGACCAAGTAATACTGAAATTCGTCATCAGATGAAACACTACTGAATTTTTTGAGTGAGGAACACAGGTGCTGATACCTAAGGAAGAAAGAATGGTTAGTTATATACAGTAATTATGATTCTTCTGGATGTTCAGCGTATGATAATTCTATAAAGCTGCTTCACTTCAGTTCAATGTCATTTGGACTCTGAATAATGAAGTAAATTAATGCTCTTTGGTATTGCTGCTTTTCACAATACTGTGAGAAAATGGAAAGGTAGGAAAGTGGATGCCTGGGCCTCCAGGCAAAGCCACTGAAAACTCTTACAACTTTTTTGCAGAAGGATACCATGACAGAATTATCTAAAGATGAGTTTACCAAGTACATTTTTTAAAACTTCCCTTCACTTACCCTCCCTTTTTCAAAAATACATTTAATTGAAAGTATTGGTTTATAATATAAACCATTCACACAAAATTATCACCTGCTTCAAATGAACACCAATGTTCCTAACAGTTGAGTAACACGCTTCTCACAGTTCAAATTTAGATAAAAATACATTTTATATAAGTTGATAATAGTGATCACATGAGATATGGGAGGAACAAGTATGACTACAGTGAGGTGAAGGGGAGACCTTATTGCAGCCTTCCAGTACTTCAAGGGGGCTTATAAGAAAGATGGGGACAGAGTTTTTAGCACGGCCAGCTGCGGTAGGAAAAGGGGTAATGGTTTTAAACTAAAAAAGGGTAGATTTAGACTAGATAGAAGGAAGAAATTCTTCACTGTGAGGGTTGTGAAACACCAGAACAGGTTATCCAGAGAGGTGGTAGCTGCCCCTTACCTGGAAACATTCCAGGTCAGGTTGGATGGGGCTCTGAGCAACCTGATCTAGTTGGAGGTGTCCCTGCTCACTGCAGGGGGGTTGGACTAGATGGCCTTTAAAGGTCCCTTCTAACCCAAATGATTCTATGGTTCTATGAAAGAGGCAAGATCATAATATCTGCTATAAGGTTTTGATAGAAGTGTAGGTTTTTGCTTATGGATAAGTTTCCTTGTATGTAGCTATTTTGTTTCATTTTGCTTTTTATTATTTTTTTTTAATTTGGGAAATTGTGTTAACTCTTTACTTGATTCCACTTATTTCTATTGCTTAAATAATAATGTAGTTGTGAAGCTCACATTTTCACAGCATTTTGAGTTATTACTTTGTAAGCTATTCCCTGAACTAGTCTAAACTGGCATAACTCTACTGATGGAAATGGATTTCAGCCACACAGCCATATATCATAAATCTATTTGCCAAAGTAAATAAGTCAGTAGAGTTCTTAGTAGGAACAGCATATTCTTCATTTCCGTCAATCAGCTGTGCTAGTATAGGTATGTACATTCTTTATATTTTTATTTGACTGGTTTTCATTTGTTTCTTCATAGTTTTCTTCATACACGTACAAACAAAATAAATGCCAAAGTAATGCATGATATACAGAAATATAAGACAAATCCTTTCAGTGCTGTCTCCGCTTATAGCCTTCATCATAACCTTCCCGTATCCCAGACTCAGTTTATTAGGTGCTTGAAATTGAAAAAAAAGCTCTAAAACCTTAGAAAGAAACAGTATAATATTTCAGTGCTATATATGCCTTTTCTTGGCTTTACAAAGAAGTAGGAAAGTTGTCTATCATTTATTACATAATTTTCCTCACTCAAATAACTTTAGTTTTATACAGATGCATAAAACTCATTACTGTTGTGTAATTGTACTGCAGGAGTCTGTATACTACGCAGAACATACTTAGCAAATAGGGATGAAATTAATTCTAAGATTTTGAAAAGACTAACAGATGAAGCATTAGAAAAGAAAGAAGAAGAAGAAAGGTAAAATATTCTGAATATCTGAATGTATATAAAATGCACATAAGAAAATTCTAGCCTTACTTTGTGTTAAAGGCATCAGTGCGCTTATCAACAGAAATGTACTAACAAAGTACACTAAAACTAGTTGTGATGTATAGGAAATAATCCAATATGTGTTAACTTTGGGGAATATCTCATTTAGATAGTAAATATGGTGGCAGAAGTTTCTCTTGCTAAATGCATTTTCATTAGCCTTTCATTAGTCCAGCCTTTTGATGCAATGAGGCAATAACATTTCAGATGATAAAATAGATTTTTTTTGTACAACCTAAATTATATTTCAGTTCCCAACATTATATTTCCACATCTTTACATTTAATATAGCTGCAACTTGCTTCAGTAGTATTTATGTAAGTCTTAAGATGAGTAATCTTTCACTTACAGAAGAGAAATGCAAGAAATACTGACATCAGAGGAAGATCTGTCTCCAGAGGCTGCTGAGGAGAAAGGTGAAAATGTGTATCATTTGACTTCTATTTTATCTAATTATGTGTTTCAAGTCATTTAGCAATTGGGGTTTTATGCAGATTTTAAAGTTTTGATTTCCTTTTTACATTCAGCATCTAGAAAAATGACTTTATATTGCTATCTTTGCTTCCTTCACTGATTCGGGCACTCATTTCTATGTGTCATTCTTAATGGATTTACAGAATAGAGACGTGTATTAAATTAGCCACCACAGTTACAGTTTTCAATAAATCTGAAGGACAGGACTCTATATCTCCTCTAGTAACTTGTCTAAGTGGGTTATTAACTGTATTGAGGCTTCCTACTCACTAAAAAATCTGTATCCCCTCACAACTTAGAAAACATTGTTAGAACTTAGACAATAGCTAATAAGAAAATCACAAAACTGTGATTTTCTGTTCTTCCCAAGAAGCTCAGCCTGAAGCAAAGGGGAATGGAAATTATTTCAGGATTGGCTCTCTTAACATGCATTAAGAATTGCTGAATCTGGTAGCAACATACACTATGAATTGCTGAACCCAGGAGCCCAGTAGAGGTGAGGCTGCTGCAGTGCCACATCCCCAGGACCATGCAGTAATGAGTGTGAGCATGTATTCCTATTTCCCCTTTCATCTTCTACTTACTCTATTATCCATGCTTGTTCCTTCCCAATCCACTTTGATCCCTCCTTCTCCTTGCCTTTCTCAGAAATGCCTCATAATATTACAAGTGTCTCACAATCCCAAGCCACTTTTAATGAATCTCATACCCTGTAGGCAGTAATCCCCCTCAGCCAGGGGGACTCATCTCAATAGATCTCACACCCAGACAATGCCTTCATCATCCTCTTTTAATGACCCTGAGGGGAGCCAAGTCAAGGTTATGTTTGTTCTGATTGGGTTATCAGGGTTCCCCCACCTGTCATTGTTCTTCCCTTCCTTCGTGCTTATGGAGATTAGCCTTTAATAACATAACCTAACAATGTGAAAAATAATGGAATTATGTGTATTACATGAGGCTTCCCCTCTAATAACAATATTAATAAAACATTTGGGGTAAAGACTTCTTATTTCGCTTCTTTCTGTGTTGACAGAACCGCATGTTATTTTTGTTTAGCCACTCGCTGTTTCCTGTACAGATCCTACTTTTATATCAGAATTGTGCTATACTTTGTTTCCAGCAATGAAAATGTAATTGTCCTGGGCAAGAGTGAATAATCTGCGAGGATTGAGATTTTGGTGGCAAGCCATCTGTCACAAATAGGCTGGATTTTTGTACCTCAGACAATTCTGTCAATTCGCTTGAGGTTTAGAATTAATTCCAGTTAGTTTCAACGTTTTTGAACCTCAACAGTTGCAGGGCTGCACTTTCCTTTTTGCCTTCTTTAAACACTGCCTACTTTCTTAGAAGAATGTTGCTGTCTATTTTGGATCTGCTCTGCTGTCAAGATGAAGTACCATACACAAGTATAGATTATTTTCTTCCTTTGCTATGGGTTCTCAAGGTTTTTCCATCATAGCCTAAATTATCACCTATAGCCTGGAGCTGAAATTAAAAATTGAAGTGCAGGAATTCCCACTTTTTTTTTTTTTTTTTCTCAGCAGCAGGCGCCTAGACTGCCATTACTGTCTTCCTTTCAAACATAACATATTGGTTTCTGTAGAAAAATATTATGGCCAAGCTTAAGTTCTGTACTGTCAATATGTCTCACATATGCTTTCTTGCATTATCCAGCCTGGCGTTCATTTTACCTATATAGAACAAGGCCCAGGTTGTAAAGGTAGACTGAATATGCTAACATGCTTTTAATTTTTAATGAGGTAACATTTCACCTACTCTGAAAAAATACTCTAGCTTTGTAGGATTCTTTAAATTACATATAAACTTTTAAAAAATTCTACATTATAACTTTTTATAATTTCTAATAAAACACATAGCTCTTCTCCAAAGTGAATGAGTTCTAAAGTATTAAATATAAAGTGTTCTACAGATTCTCTATTATCTGTGTCTCAGACAACAAAGTTCATCTTAGTTTTGAATATCTAACTGATTTTGATCTGAGTACATCAAAACAACAATTATTAATGATAGAAGTAATAATGTCATATACACTTGTGTTCTTAACACGTGATAAGGCCTTTTTCAGAGAAAATCATGTTTTCCTACACCTACATTTGATTTCAATAATCAAATACTGACTCATCAAAACACTTCAGTCATTCTGCTCTTAGCCGGAAATCTGTTTTATTTCACTTGTAGTGCCATTAGCACATTGACTGCAGCTTTTCTCCCATGTGACATGTCTTTACAAAAATATAAATGAATGAGATGTTCACAGTTCTGAGGTTTTTTATATAGCCCTTACGGTGTAAAAATGAAACTCAGGAAAATACTCCAGAGCCCAAATCATGCCCTTTTGATGTCTCATATATCATATCATATCATATCATATCATATCATATCATATCATATCATATCATATGGGAATGGTTCAAAGCTGCACCAGGGGAGGTTTAGACTGGACGTAGGAAGCATTTTTTTACTGAGAAGGTGGTCAAACACTGGAACGGGCTTCATAGAGATGTGGTTGATGCCCCAGGCCTGTCAGTGTTTAAGAGGCATTTGGACAATGCCCTTAATAACATGCTTTAACTTGGTCAGCCCTGAACTGCTCAGGGAGTTGGACTAGATGATCATTGTAGCTCCCTTCCAACTGAGATATTCTTTCTTTTCTATTCCTTTCTATTCCTTTCTATTCCTTTCTATTCCTTTCTATTCCTTTCTATTCCTTTCTATTCCTTTCTCTTCTCTTCTCTTCTCTTCTCTTCTCTTCTCTTCTCTTCTCTTCTCTTCTCTTCTCTTCTCTTCTCTTCTCTTCTCGTTCCGTTCCATATAAATAAATGTGCATTTCAATAATTGCAATTTTTGTAACCTCAGTGGGACATTGAAGTAACCGGGATTGCTTCAGGACTGAACATATTTGAATTTATAATATTGTTTGTGTTTAAAAGGAAAAAAAATGGTTCCAGTAATGAGCAAGGTACTTACACATGTCTTAATGAGACTGAAAATAAATGGAGAAGGAGACTTTGGGTAAATTTAACAAATGTATTTAAGTGAGTTAGGAAGCGAAGTTCAATGCTGAAAATGTATGTTGAAGGTACATAAAAATTTATGTGGTAACTCTTGCTTGTAGTGTCTAGCTGAAAATAATAGCCCCACATCTTTTTTCATGTCCCTTGACACAATTATTCTGAGATTAAATTATTTTCAGGAATTTCTTGCTGTATTTCAGCATTTTTGCAGCAGCTTTGCATGAATATGGATTTATTTATACTAGGAGACACCTATATGACTTCATGAGAATATATTTCAGGCATTGTAGAAGAGCTTCAGGTAGATCTGTGGGTTTGTTCCAATCTTCCTGAAGTAAAACTTGGCATATTGCTTTCCTGCCACATTTCAGCAATGAAATATCCCATACAATTGGGATATTCACTGAACCAAAGAGTTGTCATGGTTTAAGACTTAAATTTTAAGACTGGGCAGTGAAGCTGGTGAGGGATCTGGAGAACAAGTCTTATGAGGAGTGGCTGAGGAAACTGGGGTTGTTCAGTCTGGAGAAGAGGAGGCTGAGGGGAGACTTACCGCTCTCTACAACTACCTGAAAGGGGGTTGCGGTGAGTTGGGTGTTGGTCTCTTCTCCCAAGTAACTAGTGATAGGACGAGAGGAAATGGCCTTAATTGCACCAGGGGAGGTTTAGACTAGATATTAGGAAAAATTTCTTATGGAGAGAGTGGTCAAGCATTGGAACAGGCTGCCCAGGGAGGTGGTGGAGTCACCATCACTGGAAGTGTTCAAAAAACATGTGGATGTGGCATTTCAGGATATGGTTTAGGGGATATGGTGGTGTTGGGTTGACAGTTAGACTTGATGATCTTAAAGGTCTTTTCCAACCATAATGATTCTGTGATTCTGTGATTTTCTGCACTTTATTTGTCAGCCCTGCTTTTCTGCTAGGGATTGGTCCCTTCCTATAGCAAACTCAACTGGAGCACACATATGCCTATACCTCAGTCACCATAGCTCAGGGTGGTGTGTTAGTAGAATCTCGTCTTCACTGATGTCTCTTCTGCTACTCTTGCTATTTGGGCAGAAGCTCTTGCAAGAAATAAATGGGTCGCTGGAGCTGATAATTCCAGCCATTGCCTCCTGTGTTTGTCCTTCACAGCTGTTAATACCAATATTTGCTACAAACTCTTTAATATTGATCCCCGTCCCCCCCTTTCTCATATTACAGATGGTGGAGGGTTGAATCAATACCCATCTCTTCAGCTATTGTTTTATGTTCTTGCTTTTTTATTTTTATCATTGTGTTAAATTCAGTAAGGTATTTTAAACAACAACAAAAATAATAATTAAATCTGTACATGTTAGGACATTTCCTCTTTAGTCTTTGAAGAGAAATGCTTTTTGGAATCAATTGTAATTATAACATTTACAAGGCAGTTGATGGGTGCTCAGTCCTACAGCCTCTAAATATAATTCCTTTGTTTTTCTTGGCTGGTTTGCATCCTGATTTTTTGGGGGGTTTTTTTTCTACCTCTAACTGGAGGCTTTTCAGTGAGAGAGTTTGAGCAAGGACAGTTTATTAATCTGCAGACAAGAGATAGCAAATTACTTGTACCACAAACTTAAAAGCAAGCTGTAGTGATATTAACTTCACAGTTCGTTCAGTCTTTGAGCAAAGTTGCATGATACTCAAAGCCACTTTCTGCCCTCCTTTATAAGCCAGATATGATAATTACATTCTAATACCTGTAATCACAGCATTTTGGGCAGAGAATTTTCAAAATTTGAAACAGAAAGTTTTTGAACAACTTTCTCAACTAGATCCCAAATACCTTCAATTCTTAAATTCTTTTAGTCTCTCATTCAGAGAAATAAAGGCTAAGGGATATTAGTTTAGTACAGCTATACATTCCTTTGCAGGAAAAAAAGAACAAAAGCCTATGATTAGAGCTATCAGCCTCTCTGAAAGCTCTTGTCATTTTCTGAACATCTATAAGAAAAAGGACATCTTCTTAATCTACTTTTTTAATGTCTGTTCATCTGTCTTCCTTGACCCTACCCAGCACCAGTCTTGTAAATGAAATCTCTTAAGTGTTTAGACACACTGTAAAAATTTAGACATGCTTAGCTTTTGTGCCACAGGTATTTCCATTGAAGTCTCTAGGACTATCTGTGATTAAGTTATGTATGCATGTAGGAATTTGCATGCTGACAACCTTAACAAAGTGTCTTTCATTTTGCACATATTTTTCTGCATGTCATTTTCATCTTTGTGTATATTATGGACTTTTGATTTATTTATTACAGAGCATCAAAATTTATTTTGCTTGACTGCATTCCTATATATATCAAAAGAAAATAAAGAACTAGAATAAGTGAAGAATTTTCTCAATTTGACACATGCTAAAGGTTGTGGGCTTTTGTCTGCTAAGCATGTAAGAAGATGATACTTGTTTATGAGATAAAGTTTCCTGATTCTGCGTAAATCAGAAATTCAATGTTTCCAACCTCTTTTTCATAACGTTTGTGGTTTCTTTTACAAAAAAGACACATACATAAAACAAATGTCATAATTTCAGATTTTAAAATACATTCTTGTTTAATATGATTTGTGTTTTGGGTAATTGTAACATATTGAGAAGTACTAGTGGTGTTTTATTACACTAACAATAGTCTAGGGACATAAGCAAAACAAGACTTGTAGGAAAAAATAATAGTCTTTATTGACCAACTGATACAGTCAAAAAAATTATACCACCTTCAGGTACACAAACCCTTTTTCAGGTCAGAAGCACTTTGGCCCAATAAGAGCTGCTCTGTAGAACACCAAGTGCACTCTTTTGCAAAGTCTTGTTTTTGAGCATAATGTGAGCACAGAACACGTAGATTATAATGAATGAAAAATATTCTTAGGGAAAAGCACTGAATAAAATAAAGTATCTCTCCACTTTATTGACAGTCATGTGGCATTTGATAGATGGTCTGCCTTTCCCTGCAGATCAGGTAGCTTTCTTAAAATGTGTTGGTCAGTGTGCAATATCTGAGCATTAAAGTAACTAACTCCTTTTTTTCAGGGAATCAAATATAAGTTTTGCAGTGTGATTCAAAAATACCTTTATTTCTATAGTGCCTCCATCATCCTTCAATGGGTTTGTTAAAGTTACTAATGATTTTATTTGTGCCAACAGAATTTGAGGACAATGATGAGCAGCTTCCACCTGAAACTGAACGAATACCCCAGAAACAGTCCAGTGACTCTGCAGGTTATAAAGAAGAATCTAAGCATACAGGTTGGCCTTTTAGCACATATAATCTCTCTTACTTGCTAGTATCAAGAATTGTATGCCTTCTGTTTCTGCAAACTTTTAATATATTTGAAAATTGGCTGTAAATATCATTCCTTGCCTTAACTTTTTCTTTTAAAGAAGTTTATATTGGAATAGTCAGGTTCAAGTTATTTAAACACTTACAAATACAATTAAAGACATGTTGTTATTTCCTGTTAAAAATAAGGCACCAGGTATTTGCACTTTGAAAAACAACAAAATCCCACTATTGCCTCTACTGCCTAAATACCAAATTAAAAAATGTGTACAGAGATCTATGGAAATAACAAATAAAGTGAGCATTGCTGAAATTCCAGGTTGACATAACCTCTTGTATTCAGAAATCCATGAGCACTCTCTACAGGATGAAGTGATAAGAGAGGAATCACAGGAAAATACTTTAGAAAGTTTACTTTCATGGATTGTGAGACCACTTCCCTCCCCCCCCCGCCCCGAAAAAAGAAAATGTAGAAAGAAGAAAGTACCAGGGAAAAAAGAAAGGGGGAAAAAACCAAAGAAATAATCAAATTGCAATATTCACAAACGCCTACATGCGATTTTAACAAACCCTGGTTCTACAGACCATTTTAAAATTAATATTATATCCACATTAATCAGAAATTACTAGTCCATTCCCTGTGGCAAGGGACCTTGGGAAAAATGGGAATGGATGAATTTTAACTTTGGATGTGAATGATCAAAATATGTCCTGCTAACAGCTTGCTGGATTTCACAGAGTCATGTTTTCTTCTTTCTGGTATAAGGTAAAATTCTGCAGCACATGGAACTCCATAGAACCATAAGCTAATAAAAAGGTATACGAAATCCTATAGCAGCCTTCTCTCAAAAAACACTTTGAAGGCAACTAGTCTTTAATGGAGATGGTCTGCTTTAGTTTTTAGAATATATATTTTAGATTTTAGCTACTAGAATTTTTTGAATATGTTAAAGTCCAAAAGAGAAACAAATACAACATAAACCATTTTATTTTAAATAGCAAGTTGTTAAATATACACATTTTTATGCATTAGAAAGAATCAACTTAATCTATAAACCTAACTGCTTATATTTCCATACACCATAAATCAGTACACACAATATAGGTTTGTCTACTAAGTAAGTTTCACTGTAGTATGCTGAAAATTATTTGGCAGCCTATATTTATAAGTAAGTAACGAAAAGTTTGTATAAACAAACTACATGGTCTCTTTCATAAAGACAAACGAAAATACGTTCATAATGAAGTACACATCAGTTCCAAGGAATGGAAATGTCACTGTTACCCTACATTTCGTCTTTCTGTTTATTTTCATAGTTAAACTAATGAAGAAGACATGCTGGCTTCTGGTGTCTTTTTATCAGGGTTTGAGAGGGGAGGAAAGAAGGATTTTTTCATCTTTTTGTTGCTGAATATGGACTGAGGGCAGAAAAAGCCATATCTTATACTAGCAGAACACTGGGAAAAAAGATATTAAAACCTTTCCTTCCCCAGCAACTCACTTGGAGAATGTGGGGGCAGAAAGCCTTTGAGGATTGTTTGTCTCTATGGTAACTATGCTCAGTAAAGGCAAAGAAGGCACAGAGCAAAAGAATATGAGACTGCCATATAGGCATTCCCTGTGAAAGTGCCAGATTTGGGGCTGGGGAGGATTGTTTCCTATCACCTCTGTGATAAGGAAAAGAAATTATGAAAAGCACTGTTAGGTAAACTGCCAAGCTCCTCTGAAGGAAACTTGGTTGCATTTTTAGATCCATTTATTTTTAAATCATTACTGTCTTTTCAAGTGTTTTTCTTGGCTATGTTTGTTATTTCTTTAAAAAATGCTTATATCTAATGGCAAAGGTACAGCTGCCTGCCTTACTTTAAAATGTTTTTAGTATTTTTGGTCCCTGGGACCCTGTTTGAAACAAACCAAATGCCAGGGAGGCAACGTTTTTGTCATAATAAGGTTCAAATAACTGAACCAAAACCAAATAATGTTTGGGTTGTCCAATTTCCAGGTTGTCCTTTTTCCCTAAGAATGTAATTTTTTTTTCTTTTGTTACTTCTCCCTTCTTTCCAGGGGAAAGTTTCTCCAGTTCAGTTAGGCCTGTGCAATCTATTTAAAACTCCTTAAGTATGCAGTAATTGCTGCTGAATAAGTTTCCTTAAGCCAAGACAACTCTCAGATAGAGGTAATCTGATGGAATTATGTGCCTAGAGTAGAGAGTCAAAGCTGGGACACCATTTGCTAAATATGGCCTGTCAGGAAAGGTGTGACGTGAACTGTAAGTGTTTCTGAGATTAAGCAGCTCTCTACTGAGTGGATTTGTTGCCATGTTCAGTATTCTGTCTCTGCTGATGTCAAATATTCATTTAAATCCATTATTCTGCCTGAATCTTTCCAAAGTTTCATGACCTAGTCAGAACTGAAAGGTTTTTAAAGGGCAGGACTATAAAAGATGATGTGTTGAAGGCTAGATCCAGACAGCATGCATTACTATCCTCCATACATTATTGTTTTGACTAGGGCTGTGGTTCACAAGGCAGCACGTATGATTTCTACAGTGTGAATGTGCCAGGGATAACACGTGCAAAAGGCAGTTAGTGTAACCTAGTTACTACTGGATCCTTTGCTTATTTTTGTAAAAACTCTGTTCCTAATGGAATCATCATTACATAATGCATTAGAGCTGCCCAAATTTAAGCAGATTTTACCTGGCTACATCTCTGTCTCATTTGGAATACATCACTGCAGAATGCAACATCATTAACTGTAGCATTTACACAATATCTTTTAACATAAAAAGGAAGGTATCTTCATGTTCCTATTTAGAATCATGGCAAGAGACAGAAATGTCACTGCAGGGGATAACTAATGTAATAACATACACAGAATATGTAGTTTAGTAAAATGCAAAAGTTTATAAACATTTTCAAGGAAAAATTAATTTCTAATTCAAGATCAGACTATTTGCAATCTGCAAGGCGTTTCTGCTTAGTGATACACCCTTTTGTACTTTTGTTTTATGTTTAGGCTAATAATCATTCAAATAGAGGGAAGGTTAGCCACTGAGGTGTCACTCTAATAGCTGTGTTGCTCAAAGCTGTAAAAAAAAGAGGGGAAATGCATTAAGTATTCTTTGTTATAAAAGATCACAAAAATACTTGCTAAAATGCTTGTTAACCTGTTATTTAAAAGTGGCTCAGTTAAAATGAAGATTTGCAATTCCTCTTGGGGACACCATATCAGGACGCTGTGAGGGCCAACTGCTCCCAAAGGAACAGAGACCTGGGAGCAGAGGGTGGTAATATGGCCATCAGGACAGGGCCTGGCAGCCAGGAGCCGGGCAGCTCCAGCCCCGGGCACTGGGCACCTCCCTGGGGACAGGGGCAAGCTGAGGCCTGGCTGGGATGTCAGCCCGTGGGTGGGCCCGGCTTGGCAGAGCCCATGGCCAGGCAGGTCTATGGGGAACCGGAGACCGGTGCTGCAGCGGCATTGCTGGGGAAGGGGCTGATGGCCTCGAGGGGCTGACATGGGGTCCTGGGCCATGGGCAGGTGAGGGGAGCCCCAGGGGCCTGGGCAGGGACAGCTAGGCCCAAGGGTGCCCTCAGGTCCCTGAGCCAGCATATGAATTACCATAGAGGGCCTGATTTATTTCAAATCTCAATTTATCATATATATAGTAGAGGTAAATGGGGGTATTGAGTGAATAAAAGTTTGAGAGAACAAAAGTTTCAGCCTCGTAAGTGGAAGGATAAAATTTTTTAAATCACCTAAGTATCTAAAAATTGACTGTATTTCTAGAGGACTACACATTAACACCCATAAGGAGACGTAGACATTGCAGCACCCAAAACTGCTATAGTAACCTTTAAGTGCCTGGCTTCATATATGGAATTAAGAGTTATAGAAATAGGTACAAGTAGCGAACTAGCAAGGGGCCAGCCATAAAGGAACGTCAAAAGGAGACATGTATTTGAAACCCTGCATCTTTTTCAAATTTGGCCGATGACAAAAGAATGGGAGTCCCTAATCCTAGCTCTCTGGCATTTAACTCACTGGAAGCAGGGCACCAGCTTGCTTTCTTCTAGAAGACACTAGTGGCACTGGCCTTTGATATAATAGGTAGCTTAGCCATCCAAGTCAGAAAAATTTGTTGATGTGTTCCTTGTCCTGCAGGTGCTCACATATCCCAGCTGTTACTGACACTTACAGGCGATGCTTTGGTTGGTAGCATGTTAGACAAAAGTTAGGCAGTGTCTCTACTCTGACTGTAAGTTAGTCCTGTTTCCTGCCAAATCTTACTGGTACCTAAGTCCTGTACTTAGTAATAGCATTTTTTGGACCTAGCTCTATTTTGGAAAATTAAATGTGGCATTTGTGGATTTCTTCAACAATCCACAAAGAAGAGAAGTTTGAGAGACATTCAGTTCTGGGAGGAAATACTTTGTAACAGAGCAGTCTAACTCTTCATGAGCCAGAAATTTTTTTTAATTTTTCAGGTTGGGGCAAACTCAAAATGAATGTTACAGTGCTGCAGTTTCACATGGTGAGCACTGGCCTCCTTAATGCCAGGGAGTAACCATAAAACACTGTTTTTTTTAATGTTTTGGGAGTTTGTATTTTTATGAAAATGGCCGAAGCTATTAACATACAAGGCATTAAGTAAAGCTTTCATTTTTAGTAATAAATCTCCTTTTTATGTGTAGGAAGTTATATAAGGAAAACTAGTAGTAATGGTCCTTTTTTGTAGAAATCAGTAAAGTTCTTTGAAATGGGCTGAACCTGTTGTTGCTTGTGTCACAATCTGTCCCTGCTCTTTCAAACTCAAAACAAGACAGAAACAAAAGGAGGAAAATCATAGCAAAGTAGAAAATCACTCCATCTGCTCTTCAAGCTCTTTCTTGCAGCATCATTTCTGGGAAGAGACAAAGACAGCATACACTGTGAGTCCCAGCAAACTTACAGTAATATCAGACCATTTTAGTCATTGCTCTCAACTGCTTCTCTCTCTGTTAGCTGAAGACACTGATATCAGACTTATTAAACAGAAGACAAAAGAAAAATTATAAGAAGAAAATCAGGGCTGAAAATTAAATGAGTGCAGGGAATGGGAATAACAGCAACAATACCACATTGCTGCTGCCAGAGACTGTTCATGATTTAGTAAGGACAAGGTGGTGATGGTGTCATCTAGGTACCTCTGTATCTTCTTCTAGCTGAGGCAGAACTTTGTCTCAGGACTTTCAGGGCCTGACAGTGTCTAAATGGATACTAACTGCAGCCCTAGGAACCAATGAGTATCTTTGTCCTTTTCTGTTTCTGTGTCAATATCAAGTTTTTAATTCCCTCTGCCTTTTTCAGCAAAATAGATGGCAGTGGAAGTAGCTATCCCTTTGTTATTTTGGTCTCCAAGTATGACAACAGATTTGGTATGGTTTTGTCATGTTTATCATGAGTAGTACCTGTGAATTTCTTATTTACATTAATGCATTTTCAATATCTAGCTTCTTCTTACTTTTCATGAGATTGTTAGGAGACAGGCTTGTACTTCTCTGATCTTAAACAATTGACACGACAAATTGCTCCACAATCTTAAGAGATTAAAGTATTTTCTTTCCCTCACTCATTAAACAAGTAATTGTATGCAGACATGGCTTCATTAAAGCCAAAGTTTTTCTGACAGTTTCTCAGTCCAAGTATCCACAGAGGGAAGCCATGATATAATTTTTTAAATTTTCATTTATTTTTTCACTCATATTTGTATTATTATTATTATCATCATTTATATGCTCCTTGTGCTGGAGTGTATTGACTGGCAGATGGGATTTATATCCACAGCCTTTTTCCTTGCATAACTACGGATGACTTCTAGCCTCCAGAGAAACGGGTTACACTTTTGCATCTCCTTCTTTGTACTTCTTAGAATTACTCCACACATACATACATCTGTAGCTTCATAGCACCAGTATTTGGGTTCTGTAAGTCATAGGTATAACATGCTGTTGTCTGCAATTATAAGCACATTCTTACGATCTGTATAAGTGTATACCTGAGAAAGTGCAGAGGGAACAGCACACAAAGTCATGTTCCAAGAACAGGCTAAACCTAGGCTGATGCAACTTTGCAGCAGCCTCACCATTAGTGTAAGAGAAGCTGTTGCTGAGAATCCTCTGCATAACACAGTGACTTTCAAGTATGATGCTACTCCTCTATTTTTTGGGAGGAACTTCAGCCTTCAACCCCTATATGTTCTCCCCATACTCAGTAGGATAAATAGAGGCGATACCTGTTTCTTCCAGGACGATGCATTTTCACAGGAATTTTAGCGTGCTGATCCATTTTGCTGGGAAGAGCCAAAATGTATCAACAGATGACTTATCCTAAATGGGAATTCTTAGTATCTGAAAACATCTTGCAAGACTGAAGAAGTACAAATAGATGCTTCAAGCATGATTTTGTTTGGAGTTTTTAAAGTTATTATCAATCATATAATGAGGATAACAGTATCTTTTCTTTGAAATTGGCACCAGTTCTTTTATGATATTCAGTATATTTTTAATGCAGATATAATGCATAATTTATGCCATTATCTGCTGTAAACTTTATTTTTACATTACACATGTGTGACCAAATTGTCTCTGAATATCTAACAGATAACCTCTTCATTAATTTCTGCACATTTATAACAATGCACAATTGGAAAAATGCATTCATAACTCTGAAGAGGCTTGGTTTAGTAGTTAAATCACACTAATGAGGCTTGAAAGTCAGAAGAAATTAATTCCCTGTTTCAATTCTGTTGCAGACTTGGTTGTGAACTGGAAGTATTCCAGTTCTCTGAACAAGTAGATCTAAATTTCAAGCTGTTTAACACCCACAGTTTCAGTTTCATTTAACAAGCAAAAATGTGTTCAGCATCTCTGCAAAGATTAAACATTAGATATCCAGAAATCAAGACGTTCCCATCACAAATCACTTTAAAAAGATGGGTCATAATCTCTGTGTACCTGTCTTGCCTCATTTGTTAGTTATGGATAAAGGCATCAGGTGTAATTTGTTTAAGAACTCTTATATTGCATGGTTTAGTGTTTTAGCTCACAGCTTTGGCTTTATCAGTTTAGGATTTCAGTCTTCGATACCACCTCATATCCTTGATATTTACACTGAAGTGGACTTCTCTGCTTAGTCCCGTCTTTTTCCTTTCTCCTCTTAAATCTTCTCTTTTCTCAGCAATTTTGCCATGTTGGTCTTTATATATGTGTGCCTTTGAGTAAATGAAGGTTTATTTCATGAACATACGTATATTGAGATCTTGTGCTGGAGAGGGAAAAACACCTAGTAGTATGCATTATATTTCTATTCACATAAAGAGAACATGCTCCACTTGAAAAAGAACAGTAACCTAACATGCAACCTGAACACTCCACAACAGCTTCAGTAATTGAACCTGAACCAGGTCAGAACATGAAATTGCTTCTTTGCAGCATATGCGAGTTTTCTACTCTTTTTATTTCTTCCTATACTGGCATGTTCCATTTGATGCATGACCATATGAATAGCCTGTCAAAAACTGTTAATCATTAAATTCTAATTTTTAAATTAACATATATTCCTTATATTGGTTTGCAGAAAGAGCCATTGTATTTATGTGTGCTGAGTTAAATAACCATATGCAAATTTAGTTAAGTAATTGGACCTTGTTTATTTTCCTGGAGAAGCATCAGTATACACTATATTAACATAATGAATTTGGCATTTTCAAAGTGTCTTTGTAAACTAGTAGTATAATAATTCATAATTACAGGGGGTAAAAAAGCATTAAAAAAAGTCACCATATTTAAGGAAAATAAAAATAATCCTGAAGCATAATGATAATTTTAAAATTTAAATATTTTAGAGGAGCATTGCCTTCTATATATTATTTGATTTTCAGAAATCATACTACCTGAGTTTGCAGAGGATGATTTTCCAGATATACCAGAAATGGAAATAATTAAAAGGAAGATTGACCTTTTCATGCATGACTGGCAAACAATGGAGTCACAAATCAAGCAGTCATCTCTGGTTCAGGTTGTTGTTTTAGAGATTGCTGAGCAAACTCCAGAAAGTCTGCTTAATCAAATTGTGCTGATTATGGAACGTAAGTAATACTGTTTATGTGATTTACACTTAACCTACCAAGGGGGATTTTGGAGAGCTTGTATGATGAATATATGGGGGGGCAGGTTATACAGTGTTCTGTATTACTCACATGAAGTGGGAAGAGGACATGCTGTGTTCTGTGGGTGAGCTGAAAAGCACACTAGCAGCCTTTAAGACATAGGAAGATTGAGGAATTGTCCTGGTTTCAGCCAGGATAGAGCTGGTTTTCTTCACAGAAGCTAGTGCGAGACTGTGTTTTGGATTTGGGATGAGAAACTGTTGATAACGTGATGATGTTTTGGGTTGTTGCTGAGCAGTCAAGGAGAGTCCAGCTTCTCGTGCTGGCCTGCCAGCGAGCAGGCTGGGGGTGCACGGGGAGCTGGGAGGGGACACGGCCAGGACAGCTGACCCAGGCTGGCCAAAGAGATATTCCCTACCATACGACGTCATGCCCAGTACATAAACTGGAGTTAGCCGAGGGGTGGAAATCGCTGCTCGGGGATGGGCTGTTGATCGCCGGGTGGTGAGCAATCGCTGTATTGGGCATCACTTGTTCTTGTACATTCCTTTGTTGGTATTATCATTGTTGTTTCCTTCTCTCTTTCTGTCCTATTAAACTGTGTTTATCTCAGCCCATGAGGTTTTTTTTTCTAATTCTCTCTCCCGTTCCACTGCGGGAGGGGGAGTGAGTGAGCAGCTGCGTGTTGCTTAGTTGCCGGCTGGGGCTAAACCACGACAGGAATATATACATATTTGAAATATATCTATATTTATGTATATAATATGAATATATTATAATGTCTGTACATAATGAAATATGTACATAATAGCTCCCTGAACATTCTGACAGCACATTTCCCCAGTTACTTGCTCTATCTGGGCATGTCAGGATACTGTTTTGAGAACTAGACAGAGGTTCACTAATGTACAATATTCACTGAAGTCAATGAGACTTTCAGGGTGCGTAATAATCTAATCTACCCACCTGCACAGATTGTGTTTCAAGACTGGATTGTTACAGTATTGATATTTTTCTGGCAAATTACCTTTCTTCACTTGCGTGCTCAAATCTCTTAACAATTTTGAGTACTGGATAAATAATATTAATACTACATTTTCCCTATCATTACTACAATGCAAGTGTTTTATTAACCAAAGCATCTTATTGTGCTAGCTTTATAATAAATAAAATTTGACCAACGAACAACAGGAAAAAACCTGTTGCAAACAGTAGTGGCACTATTTGCATGTGTTTGTTTAAAACTTTTGTACTACAAGTTCCCATTGAAAATACCAATTTACCTCACCAAAAAACAACTAGTAGAAGTTCCATTTTTGGAAGAAGAAATATATTAATTCCTACATCCAGTGTGAACATTTTGCTCTATGAGTAGCAGAAATGCAACAGACAGTTGGCATGGTTTGCTTTCACATATGTACTTATTTTATGGACAAAGAGAATATATTCTGGCATAGCCAAAGGAAAAATATTAAAATGGGGAAAAAAAATATTTAACTATTTCAGAACCTTTTAAATATCACGGTTGGGAATTATCTGCTGAAGACTTAGATGAGGAAGCAGAAGATCTGGCTGCTGAAGGGGAAGATGAAGTTGAAGAAGAGGAAAATGAAGATGAAGAAGTAAGCATGCTGGCTTTGTCCATTTATGCTTTTATTGTAACTCATTTATTTTCAGTTTGAACATAACCATAGAGAAATCAGCTTTTACACCTGATTTTGTATGATCCAATTTCAGCCTTCTAACAGAATGAGTATCAGCATATGTTTCAAGAACATTTTCATTATATTCCCATGTTCTGGCTGATCGTAGTTTTACCCAGCGAGAAACATAAATGCCCCATGCTAATAAGGAGAATGAATGTACCTGTTTTTGACAGATGGCAAAGAGGACTTTTATTGAAGAAACAAATGTGAACTTTGATTTCTGTCAAAAACATGAGCCATCATGTAAACATTAGGAGGTGCAGAGTCCTAATGTGCAATTCTCTGTTTCATCTCAGCTATTGATAATTTTCAAACACCCACTTTAATGAAATTAAAGGTCTAGCTTCACCTTTCTTTCATTTTCATCCTATGTTGGAAGATGCCCATCCCCAAATTTAACAGTACAAGATACCTATATACTGTACTGGAGCAGTATGAAACAGATTTTTTAGAAATTAATTTTATTGGATAAGTAATCTGACTTCATAATACCAGTTCTCATTGCCTTTTCTGAAGAGGTCTACTTCTGCACATTTAGAAGCAGCAGAAAGTGAGTTTCAAAAACACAGCAGGAAAAGATTTTATCATAGATACGTCTATCTTAACTTTGGTCTTCAATAGCTAACTATGATATTATAATTTCAAATTTAAAATGGTCATTTTTTTTCTCAGTAATTGTCTCAATAGTCTGGATAGATTGTTTTCTGACTCTGAATCTAAAAACTGTGTATTTTCGTAGACTTACATTCAGCTTACAAACTATCTTAAGAATACCATTCTCATTCAATGCTCAGTTGATGTATTTGAAATTACTTAATCTGATATATTTGATCTATTTAGATTAAGTGAACTACTGAATTCAAATAGTTTTTCAAAATTTTTGTAATGTTTTCAGGATGAAGAAAAAAATCAGGAAAAGAAAAGGCACATGGGAGACACAAAACACTTTTGTCCAGTCAGTCTGAAAGAGAACTTTGTCCTTTACCCAGGACTCCATGAACATGCAGCTAAATATCAAGAAAAGATTTATTACTTTTCAACTTCTGAGTACAGAGATAAATTTCTGAAGAACCCTGAGGAGTACGTGGCTCACAGTGAACCAATACAAGTGAGAATCTTCAAAATTCTTTAAAGCCGATAATAACAGATTAAAATAGCTGTTTTCCATTCCCATTTGTAATTGTTTATTATTGATGGTTTTTTTTAGGTCACAATAAATATATCAGGCAAGTCCTTGAAACAAATAAAACACATTGCTTCCCTAGTGATTTTTTAGTGTACTTTTAAATTAACACATTGAATTAATGATGCAAATAAAGCAGAAAAGAGAGGAAGATTATAAGGGCTTATATAATCATAAGATGTGATTAACAAATCACAAATATTGGGCGGGGTACTATCTTTAAGTCTTTTCTGGTAAGTGGAAGAAGGGTAAAAGAAGGGAAGATTTAGCAGAATTATCTAATGAGGTTTCATTTTTACCTGCTGGCATCAATGCCATAGTGTATTTGTTCAGTATTTCCAGAGAGCAGGCAGTCTGTTTGGAATAGCAGTAGAAGGCCTGGAAAAATTAAAATGCAAAATGATGTGACTGGTTTTGATGCAATTTTTACAATAATATTTTGGAAGTGAAAAACAGTAGGGGCTACACTGTAGAATCCAAATTGGTATAAAATATTCCAATTCTTTCCTATAGGCTCCTCCCTTACGGGTGTGCTTACTTGGGACTCATGGAGCAGGTAAAACTACTTGTGCACGACAGATAGCAGACAAATTAGGCATTTTCCATATTCAGTTTGAAGAATATCTACAGGAATTGATCTTACCCAAAACTAAAGAGAAAGTTGGGCCTGATTTTGATGAAGAACCTGAAGAAGATGACGATAAAATGCCAATTCTGCCAATTCTGTCACAGGAACTGGACAGCTTCTCTCAGACCATGACTAAAACTGATATTGAAAAAAGCAAACAGGTAATCAACTGATCTTTTTTATGTCCATACACAAAATAACCATTTTCAGAGCAGAATAGCAATTTCCTATAAAATTTATGCTAAATAAATAAAATTTATGTTAAAACTTATGTTAAATTATTTACTTAATGAAATGTGATAGAATGAGAGGAAATGGCCTCAAGTTGCGCCAAGGGAGGTTTGGACTCGATATTAAGAAAAATTTCTTTACTGAGAGGGTGATCAAACATTGGAACAGGCTGCCCAGGGAGGTGGTGGAGTCACCTTCACTGGAAGTGTTCAAAAGATGTGTGGACGTGGCACTTCAGAACATGGTGGTGTTGGGTTGATGGTTGGACTTGATGATCTTAAAGGTCTTTTCCAACCTTAATGATTCTGTGATTCTATGATTCTGTGATATGTGGAAACAATAGTTCCTGACAGTGTTTTCTTATGAATGCCACAAACATTCTTCAAAACATTTCCAGGAATTATGTATAGGTTTTTTCTAAACAGTAGAGACAGATGCTAAATGGGGCAAAGGAAGACAAACTGAGGGAAAAAAAATCAAGGTCAGAATAATAACGAAAAGGTATGGTTTCCTTCAAGTATTTATACTACGCAGGTTCAGTCTGGTGAATGTGCTCCAGCTGCACAAGAGTTTAGAAATGTTCACCAGCAGTGCTCTCTGCACTCTCTTGGGGCAAAGGAATAGAATGCCTCTACCAGCCCTTCAGTGTGATCATACCTTGTCAAAAAAACAGATATATTTCTGTGTTCATAAAAGGGTAAGATAGTATATTTTTAATACAGTAGGTTTTGTAATCGGGATTGTAGTGTTGTCTTTGCTTATTAGCAGCAGCTTTAAACCAGAAAAACTGTTAGGTAGCATCAAATATGCCTGCTAGTTTAAAAACTGCTTAAAATAGCTGGATATTCATGGAACTGGTATAATAATTCATGAGTGATAGCTTTCAGAAAATTAGTTCTTTTTCCTAATCAAATTGAATACTGTCTAAAAGTTGTTATAAATATACATTCTAAAACCTATCTCTTACAGGGTGTAATTTCCCTGAACAATAAACATTTACATAAATGTTTATCAGGAGAGAGTGATTTCTTTTATTAGACAGTGATATATCGGGAAAAACAGATGAGGTTTCAATGCAAATTAATTCTTCTTTACACAGCAGTGGATATGGTAAAAGCCTTTATTGTGTGGAGAAGTCTCAACACACAGGTGCACAGTACATAAATCTTTCAAAAAATACATAGTACAAAGACATTGAAAATCTACCTCCTATACAATACAAATAAGAGTTTATCCAACTCTCAAAGCTTCAGGAAGAAATAAGTTTCTGCATCCCATTCTAAGAGCCTTTTTTTGTGTGTGCTCCTGATACCTGCTATGTTCTTTCAAGTTATTGGTCATCAAAGACCTTCAAAGACTTCCTACAACAGGATCTAAGGAAGCGTGCAGGAAGGGAAGCAGGCTACAGAGGAGGCATACAGAAACAAACTCCAGGCACAGTATTAGGAAGATGAGCACTCCGATGCAGGTGGAAACTAGTGAGGGATCTGAAGAGTAGCAAGAAGAATTTCTATCGGAACAACAGTAGCAAAATGAAGACCTGGAAAATATGAGTCTGCCAGTGAGTGGGGAAGGTGAGCTTTTGATGAAAGACACTGAAAAGGCTGAAATGCTCAATGGCTTCTTTACCTTGGTCTTTTCAAGTACAGTCTGGTCTGTGGCCCTCTAGGTCTCTGTGCCTAATAGGAAAGCATGAGTAGGGAGTGGTACTATGCACAGCGGAATAGGATCAAATTTGGGATCATATATGTAATCTGGATGTACACAAATAAATAGAGTGCATTCACAGGTGCTGAGGAAACTGCCAAAGGTGCATTCAAGGCCACTCTCTATTGTCTTGAAAAGCGGGGGAGGTCCCTGATAACTGGAAGATAGTGTTCCTGATGCAGTAATACAAGAGCAGGTAACATTGGAAGCAAATGCTTCAACACAGATGGAGTACAGATCAAAATGATGGATGTCAGAACAAAAATTCAGGTTTTCATTAGTTAAATCTAAGAGGCAGTTCTTTTGGCAAGTCAGTTTACAACTTGGTCATCACAGCCAAAAATGTGGCAAGTGTTCCTGGCACTGGTGGTTATGGCTGGCTGCCTCAGTTTTATTTTTTTGGCATCAATACATGTCTTACACTAAGACACTTCTGTTAGTGTTTTTTCCTCATCATCTTTTTCTCTGCTGGTAAACAATCTTCTTCTACATTAGTATTTTTTTCTCACACTTCTTGTACAGCACTTTATCTGATAGCATGACCAAAGCACAGCTGATGCAACTGCAGTTCTGTTTAGAAACCCATTCACTGGTCCATGCACAAAACTCTAGAGGATTATTTCCAGGGTTGTGAACTCCCTAAGCACTTCTATGAATATGACTACGAACAGACCGTCTGACTGTCCCAGTTTCCACTGACCCCACTACCTCTGCGAAATAAGTTCATTTAACTTCATTTGTATCATTCTCTTTCACTTTGGAACAAGACATTAGAAGCATACCTATCATAGCCTAAGGTAAAGGTCAGCTGTAATATTCAAAGCAAAAAAGGCAAACAAAACATACCATGCAGTCTGGGAATTTAGCAAAAAGATATCATCCGCATTGTTTTAGTACGTGTCAATCAAAGCCTTCACAGCATTGACAGGTCTGGGGAGCAACATTGTCCTTTGAACCACCGCTGTGCAGGGTGTTCTCTTTTCTGTACCTGGAATATACATCTTGTGTTTCTTTCATCAGATGCAAATGCCATTTCAAGATTTCATCTGCAGTGGTGATGTCAGTGATACACTTTTATATGGGTTTTACTGTTTTCTCCCACTTACACATTTCTTTCAAGATGCCTCTGTGTTACAGATCTGGCTACCACCTTGCCTTCTTAGGTATCTGTTATGCCATACTAACATCTTTTAATATATACACTAGTGCCTATGTCAGGCACTAGAGAAAATATTACTCACACTCACACTACATCAGGTCTGTGGCTTCCAGCATATTCTCGAGTTCTTTTGGCTACATTATCAAAATATTGATATGTTGTCTTTTATCCAGTATACTTGTAAAAATGTGTATTTTGATATTGTGACTGATGTAAACTAATCTGACATCACCAAATGTATACCCTCTTTTCATTCTTTTTTACTATAGTTTGTGTCAGGAAGCCATTTTATGAGAAGTGCATCCTCAGCTATATTAATCCCACAGTGTTACATATTCTGGACAGTTTTTCACAAGAACCTAACAGATAGATTTGGTATTTGAATGCTCTGCATTTTTCTAGTCATTAATACTTTTACTGCACTGTAGAACAATGCTATCTTTCTGATTTCTGGTGATGTGCCTATATCCAGTAACCTTGCATATCTTTCTTTGACATCTTTCTTTGGATTGCATCAAAAGATAAAAGTTGCTTTTAAAAAGTGAAAAACCATTATGATATAGAGCAGATAATCTTCCAGCATGAGAACATGTATAACCAAGTGGAAAACTTCTTGTAGGCAATTAGGAGAAACTGTGATCATTTCAGTTTCTATTTCTCTCAATTGAGCAGATGTATAATTAAATACTTTACAACTGTGCTTGGGTTTATGTTTCATTAAAATTCATATAGCAGCAATTGCCCCAACTCTAGCGAACTACCCAACCCCAAGCACGTGGGAAATATCCCAAAATGTATAATGTAATACAGTGAAATGTGGCAAATGAGTTTACTTTGTTTCTGCTGGTTTAAATCAAATGAAGACGGTACATTACTAAGTCAAAAAAACAATAAATATGTCGGGTAGATCTTTCTTTCTTTCTGTTGTGTTTTTTTTTTTTTCTTTTTCTTTTTTTATGGATTTTCTTTACATAAAGGAAGTGGAGTTAACCGATGAGGAAGAAGCAATCAAAGCAAATCTAATGGATAATGAGGCACTGCCTCCAGAAGTCCTTGATAACATTGTTCTTGACTGGTGGAGGAAAGAGCCATTCCGGTAAGTGTAATCAGATTCTTGAGAGTATTTCAAAGCTTTTGTACTAGTTATGAATCATGACCTACCTCTCAGTCTTGGTTTTGTTGCTCTATTTTGATTGATATTTTGACAGTAATATAATGTCTCATGTGCTCTACACAGGACTGGACAAAAGTATTTAGTGCACTTGAATTGGATCAAATCTCCTGAACAGCCACATAGTTTTTGTGGGCTTACAGGATAGATATGTAAATAAGCCTGTTATGTTTTCATGTAATTAATAAACATGGAGAGCTGGAATCCAGCTGTAACTATTGGTTTCCATATATTGTAAACATTGTGTGGAAAGCAAAGATAAAGTATCTGTGGCCTCCAAAATCACAGAGAATCAGGTTATCTTGTGCATTCATCACAATCTGTAGTCCAGTGATGTATCTGCAACAGACTTCCTTTCATATCAGAAAGTACATCCATAACACTGCGATAAATGTGGATTATTGCTGCATAAATAAATAAGGTCATTGACTCCTAGAAAGCAGACTGGCTTTTTAGGATGTCATTTCAGCAGGGAAAATCCCTTTTTCCCTGTCCTATCTCTTCCATCCATTTCCATCCAGATCATAGCTGCTGGCAGATTTGACCATTAGGTTTCAATTCCTAACAGTATGATAAATGCCTTAAAAGAATAAACAAGATCCTCAAATAAACTTATATCCTGTCAGTCTACAGATAGGGGACAATGTTCCCTTAATGATGTAAAAATAGAGAGATCAGTTTTAGGAAAAAAGAATGCACCAAGACAAAAAATTACCCAGCATTACACATAATACTGCAATATTATATTATATAAATTTAACGTCATCAGGGACTGTATAGCAGAAGAGAACCTTTGTCACATTATACATTGTGATTGATATCCTTCCCCCAATTTTTTGCCACAGCATCCAGGGCCACCTGTTCTTCCATCCACTCCCACTCCTTGTAGCTTCTTTGGTTACCTCAGTTTTACAATGTATCCTATTAAGGTCTAAAGTAATAAAGAGAAACGTGAACTCGTTATTAATACAACATTCAGCATTAAAGAATTACTCATCTAATTTGAGACTGTAAGAGCTACAAAAAGCCATAGAGCTTGCCAGACATATCTGACCCGTTTTTAATATCTGCAGGAAGGGAGATGTAGGTCATGCTGAGTGGCACTCATCCTACACTACAGAAGAAACTGTCAGGCATTTCTGAAAAAATGAATTTTCAGGCAACATGCTTTCTGCGGCAAATGTTACCAAAAGAAAGTTTGGGGCAACTTCTATTTTTTTGAAAGCAGTGGCTAAGAAGTACTGTTTTTAGAGTCACACAAGCAAGACTGAGGACACAATTAATTTTGTATTTTTTAAAGTTATTTTAAAATAATTAATGCCTGCACATTAAAACCTCAGAATAAATACATTTGTTAGCGCGCTGATTAAAATATATAGTGAAATATCAGTTTTACATTTTCAAAAGATAATACCTGAAAGTATTTTAAGTTTACTCTTAACATACACATAAGAGACTTTTAAAATTTTTTTCAGATTAATTGCATTTTCACCGTGTTGCACTTTAAACCACATTGTGTAATGATAAATATCTTCTTTTCTAATTAGGTCCACAGGATTTATACTGGATGGTTTCCCTCGTACTTTAGATGAAGCCCAGTATTTGTCAGAACGAGGACTCTGTCCTGATGTTGTGGTTTATATTCAAATAGAAGAAAGTGATGTTCTTGAACGTCTTTTTCCTCCACGTCTGAAAAAATGGAAAGAAAGACAGTATAAAAAAATGGAAAATAAAAAGAAACTGAAAGACCTGAAAGCAAAAATAAGGGTAAGTTTGCAGTCATTTCTACTTTCTTGTAATTTCAGCAGCACAGGTCTGAACATAGATTCTAAAACTCCCAGAGCAATGAAGAGCACACAGAGAACAGATATGGGAGCCAGTAGATGCAGCCCCACACATTCACAGCATTCCCAGATTTACCATAGGAACCAGAAAGAATTTAGGGCTCCCTTCCTCCTCTGTGCAATTATTTCATGTAGGAGTTTAGATATCTCACAGCCCAAGAAAAGCAGCTGCGCTGACAGACAACTGGCAGTCTGACAGAATGCCAGACATCTAGAAAGTCCAGGACAAGAGGCAACTAGATGAAGAGACTGAGTATGTCCGTAAAAAATCAAATACACAGCTCATGCACCATACTGTTGTTGCATTCCATATTCCCTGAACATGTGCTGTTGAGTTGATCCTCATCTCACACAGGCTGACTTCATAGGTACTGTATGGTGTATGTGTCTGTGTTTCCCACTATGATACTCTGCACAGAAATGTAATAGCATTAAGCCACAGTGCTGTTGCAGCTGCACGGTCGCCCATTTCAACAAAACTGTGCCTACTACTGAACAGGTTACAAGTTACTTGAAGTAATCTGAAACTTCTATGCAGACATTTACAATCAGCGTGTGCAATGTATTCAACGTTCCTAATTTTCTATAAAAGTGAGATAAAGTACTCCACATGTACTATCAGAAAAGGTCTGAGCAAAAGTTACTACAGAGCAGCTGACACAAAGGAAGTTAGTACAACAGAATTTGGGACAAGGCTCACACAATACCAGTAAGTTTTCTGAACTGCTTGTGCCAGAGATTGGCTCTGAGAATGCACATAATCTAGGAGAGCTAAAGTATTTTTTCAGTTCAGTCCTTCCTGATGCAAGTTGGAAATCTTGCTGGAAAAGGTACATTCTAGTGACCAGCCTACATTGCTGTACTCAGCTCACCCTGTAATCAGTTACTCTGATCATGCAAGTGGCAATTACTTGTGCTATGGATCCAAGGGTCCAAACTTCTAATGGACAGTGTAGGCATCAATATGGGTCCTGATGACAAAGGAAAATAAAAAGGTCCTATTTAAAATGTCCAATGATGGAGATTGGTGATGAGTGGTGACCCTCAGGATTCTGTATTGGGACCAGTGCTCTTTAAGATCTTCATCAGTGACATAAACAGTGGGATCG